AGGTTTGAGCTGCTTTTTGGCTTCTTGTAGGGTGAAGCTGGCCTGCCAGATGCACCTGGTCTGGTCCCTACCATCTCAGGCTGTGTCCTGTTCATCCCTTTCACGAACTTGTTGAGATCTAGCTTTGGTCTCCTGCAACCTTTACCCGAAAGAGAGGATAGACTGAGAATATCTTTCTTTCTGTGGCTGGGAGCCTTCTGCTTGCTTAACACACCCAGGAGCAGCCTGTTGCTCTCAACTGGTTATGTTCAACCAGTTCTTTGGCTTCCTGCCACTTCCTAATATTTTTTAACCCTTGCAGCCATACCCTTCATGTTTCCAAGCTCTTGGCGCTTGTCCCCATGAAGACATCTTAAAATGGTGAATGTCTAGATCCCTGCCACAAAGATGGCTGGAACACATCTCTCCTTTGTTATCAGTTATGGGAGTTGTTACAGTTGTCTGTTTGCAGAGCTCATTTTTGAAGTAGCTGGTAAGATTGTAACTGGTGCTGATTACTTTAAATAGCATGTCTAAATTACAGCTGTCAGGCCTTGTTTAATTTTGAGCAGAGACTACAAATTGTATTTATTGTTAGAGCTACTGATTTGTTCAGGGGGACCTTTGGCCAGAGTCTTATTGAGAAGCATCTTTCTGTCAGATGGAGAAATCAGTAGCTTCCTACCACTTCACCTGATGCTTATAAACCACCTGGCTGATGTGCAAAACATGAGGAAGGAGAGGGCTTAATGGGTAATGTTTAGCTGTCTGTAAAATCAGTACAGGTCAGAATAACTCCAGTAAAGTCAGTGGAGTCTTCTTCCTGGGCTGTAGCTTGTGTAGAAAGCAAAGTACTGCTGTGGAAGGATGATGTCCACAAAGACTCGCTGTGCCTGCAGTGCCGGTTGTGGCTGGCCCTGATCCAGCTTAGACTGGACCAAGGCGGCTGAGGAGCTTTTGTGCCCACACCCTATGGAAATAACTCTGGGAGAGGCATGAGCCATGTCAGATGGAGCTTGAGGGACCTCAGACCCTCATCTAACTCTTCTTGTCAAAAGTGATGGTACAGTTGAGGCCTGTGGGCTTCAGAAGGAGCTGAAGACTGTAGGTGCACCCCAAAATCAAATCCTGTGGTTTCTGCTGAAAGGTGCTGGAGAGCTTTGATTGCTGCCCAAGTAAAGTGAGATACTTCTTTTCAGTAGTAACATCCCTGCATCTATTCCTACACAATTTCTACTTTCAAACAAGGCATTGAAATTCTTCCTGATCTCTCAGAACTGACTTTTTTCTGACTCAAGTAAGTGGCTGTTAAAACTGCATATTAACTTCAAGTTAATTAATACTTGGTCACAGTGGGATGTCCCCAGGACTGCTCTCTGCATTCAGATGAATGCCGAATCCAGCTTAATCATTTCCAGCGTGTGTGAGACAGAAGTTGGAAGTGTCGGATCTCATTGCAGTGACGTTGCTTCTCTGCCTCTCCACTGCTTGGTCTGAATTTCAATGTGTGGTTCAGTGAATACATAAACCTCTGCTCAGCAGTGGAATTTATCCTAGCAAAGAAATAGTCGTTAGGGCCATTTGGATGAAATGCAGTTTAATATTTGCTACTGATGAGGGTAAACCATTACCACCACCTTCCTCAGCTGCCGGCCAGGCGCCCCAGCTCAAGCCCAGTGTTCCCACACGGTGCACTGGGAAGGCTTTCAGTCTACTTCTTTATTATATTATTTTATTTTCAGTTGCAAACACCCCTAGGTTGACCAGGGCTTGCTCTGAAGTGCTTTTCTAATATGCATGTGATGGCTTGAAAGAGACAGAAAAGTGCATCGAAGGGGCCTGTAAGCCTGTATAGATGCGTCATGGACATGTGCTCTCTGGTGGTTTGCCCTGTCATAACCAGAAAAGAGCTCATGCTTTGTTGGGAGGTTTGTTTTCACCTGGTGCTGTGGCTGTGCCTAATGGGTGCACAAGCATGTGGTCCCTGGGGGCCTGGGCAAGGATGCTCCCCGCGTGGGTGCTGTGCCGTAGGGAAGCAGTCTCAACGCTGTTAAAGCTTTTGCATTTAATACAAAGGGATGGTGGCTTCTGGCACATGTCCCTGGTGCTAGCAGGGGCTGTGGGGAGCTCAGGCATTCCTGTTGCAGCACTGCAGGTTTGAAGGGGGGGAGGGCCGGTTCTGATGTTGATGGTTCTCACACAGCCTGAGCCAGCAGGGTCACATCATCCCACATGAATGTTCACATGTAGTTCACAGAAGCGGTGTGATTTCTAGCTCCTCTATTTTTGGAGGTGGGTGTGGGAAGCGGTGTGAAGCTGCGTCCTTAGCAGGCTCAGAAACTAGCAGACAGGCTGAGATACTTTTTTTTTCTAACATCTCAGAGGTTGGGGACAGTGGGTGGCACAAAGTTGTCCTGGTCCTAGCAGGAAGGGTGCCTCTCTCCCTGGTGTCAGTCTGTCTGTGCTCCCATCAAATCCCCGCTGTTAAGTCCTGGATGCATTTTTGTCTTATCTGGTGGGTGGCCAGGTTGGGTGAGATGGACCCAGAGGGATTAACACTTCACCTTCAGCTACTCTAGCTCCAGGCTGACTTGCTTATATCAGGCTTCTTGTCTCAGCTCCAGGGTGCTGGTGGAGGCACTTCCACAGCCCTTTGGACCCTCTGGTTTGGGATGGGTCCTCTCTGCTCCTTGCCTTCCTCCCTGCATTCACAACCTTGGCCGGAAGGTGCTGGAGAGGAAGAGCTGCCTAAAGCCTGGGCTGATGCTGAGCATCTTGTTATCTTCCCCTTCTTCTTTCCTAAGACAACCTCCTTCCCTTTAGTGCCAGGAAGATTTCTTGTCCCAGGGGTCAGCTTTCCATTGACACCTTGGCTTCCTTGCTCTCTTCCTCTCTTTTCACGTTACAGTTCTTGTTATTCATTCTGACTTTCCCCACTGGAAAAAGTCCCTCGCTGTACTTTGTGCTTCTCTGCAGCAGGATTCGCTAATCACATCATCTCCTAGCACCATGTCCCAGAGGGCTTCTACTTTAGAGTGAAAAATATTGTTGTCTAGGCACTGCGATCCCATGAAGTTGCCTCAAACCATTCTATAAAACTAAAGGTAATTTAATAAATGATTATGGATTCTCCATCTTGGGGGTTTACCTTCCCTCAGGAGTTGTTATTAACCCACAGTATTTATCACAAGCGGCTGTAAGAGCTGCCTTTTCATTTCCTCGCTAGGATGGATTGCAGCTAGCAGTTTTGGGACAGCCACTGTGGTGACAGCCAGACCTATGCACTCGACTGGTGCGGAGCTGGAGGGCTTTGAGGTGCTCCTGTTGGCACCCCTACACTGCAGGCATCTCTTTGGTCACCAGGGAAAGGTAGTGTTAAGCTGCGAGTTGCCCAAAAGCACCATTGTCACAGCTGAGCTGAAATTATTTCATCTTTAGGCAGCTGCTGAAGTTAGTGGCTGCTGCAGACATTGAGCAGTTTGGTCACCCACCAGCTCACCCCGACACACATTAAGGTGCCTCAGCTGAGGGCAGCGAAGGTTGCACAGATGGGACTGGAGATGGGCAATGCTCTGCGGGGACAAGCAAACACCTTTGTCCCCTCCACGCATTGCTTTGCTCTTCCACGCGTAGACAGTGCCGAGGTCTTGCTCGGGGTCCCCTGTGTTTTTGTGTGCAGTTGCAGGAAGGACAAGTCAGGTGGGACGTCTCAGGTTATAAAGGAGCAGAGCCTCTAATCCAGAAATTAAAACCAGCCTTAAATAATAAGCTACAAAGTTAAAGATAAATATTCATTTGGAAGCACATCATTAAAAGCACCGAATTCCCAGCTGGGAATGAAGCACCCAGGTTGCTGTAAAAAAATTTGCCTTGTTTGACTGGGGGGGAATGCTTGTAAATAGGTATGGTGAGAGGCAGGCATGGTTCAAGTGTGTCCATCTATGTGGCATTAGAAATAGAAGCAGAGCACCTGCCATGATTTAAAACAGAATGTAATCTGAGTCAGCTGGGAATGTTTGAAAATGTAAAACCATATACTTGTCACTGACAGATGTTGGTCAAACTATAAACTCGGCTCTGTTTGTAAAACAAGCTGTTGAACTGCTTTGCTGAATAATTTGCCAAATTGGTCCTCACACGATTTGTATTTAGAAACTGCTGGGCAGGTAATCATGCCATCAGGAAGTGCCACATCGGTTATAACCTCGTTTCAACAGAGCTGCTGCCCTTTTAGCACTAGGTGCAGTTAGAGCTGTTGTTTTGCAACCAGGGAATACCTGTGGCACAGCAGTGAGATGAATCTTGTCATCAATACTTGCTGTATGCTGATTAAAAACAACCAAAGCTTCCTTCCCCGAAGTGGTTATCGCTGCTGCTTTGGCGCTCATTGGGGATCAATGGGCTGTTTAATTATGAGTCTCTGTCTGGAGTTGCTCGACAAGTCTTTCCATGTTTGCCTTGGGTGTGTGAGGGTGTTCCTTGCTGGGCTCCCTGGGTGCCACCGAGTGGTGTTGGGCTCTGCCCTGTCAGGGCACAGCAGGCTGCGGGCATCACCGCTTGCTCATACTGACCTGCAGCTGTGGGTAATTGTTAGGGGAAATATTCAGGATAAATATCTAGTAGAGTTGTAAAACTTCTTGCTTTGGCCCTCTGGGTGGGTGTGTTCAGGAGGGCACTGGTGGGTCCATACTGGGTCGTCGCTGGCTGAATCTGCCCCTTTGCATCTGTCTCAACGTTTTTTGTACAGTTTATCCATTTTTCCCTTTCCCACTGCGCTTTTTGCCTCCCCGCAAGGCATTCACCTCTGTCGTCTTTGGTTCCTTGATGCAACCAGTTTCTAGCTGTCTGCTCTGCCGCTATACTGCTGTCATCCCTGGGCAGCCCCAAGTGTTGACCTGCTCCATCCTGGTTTGGGAGTTGCTGGGTCAGACCCATTATTGAGCTCACACCATCAGTGCCCGGCCAGGGGCCGCATCCTGCTGAGGAGCTGCTCGTGCAGTCTTCCCTCCCTCCCACTGCAGGTCCATGATCAAAGTGATGTTGTTTTACAGATTCAGTCCTCCAGCACCTAAATTTTTCATCAAACCCCAACTACTGAAGGAGGAGGGAACCTGGTTGGAGCGCTTGGCACCTGCAGAGAGCAGCTCCGGGGATGGAGGTGTGGAGGAGCTATCCGAAGCCCTGGGAGCAGCAGATGCAGCTGACTCCCTGGAATCAAAGGTAGATTTTCTTGTATGCCTACCACTTGCATTGTCTCCGCCAGCTTGCCACCGAAAAGCCGTGCTTGTGCTAATCTTTCTTTTTGCTGCTGTGCTGTCATGTGCCCTGAGAGCAGGCTGGACACAGGAGGGAGAAATAGGATAGTTTTGCTTGGAGAAGCCTACTCGGATCCTACTGATCTATGTTGAGTTGGGGATTTTTTTGGCTTGGGTTTTGTGTTGGGGTTTTTTGGGGTTTTTTTTCAATGTAAAGCGAGGCTTTTATCTGCATAGTGATGTGAAGGTTTTCAGTTTCCTTCCCATCTCGAGCCATGCCAAGTACTGATCTCGCATGTACCATCTTCTCCATCTTAGCTAGAGCCACCCATTTTCATGTCTCTGCCTTCACCCAAGAGCTGGTATTGCAATGACAGCCACAGGGCTGTCTTTTATAAAATGAGACTTTGCAAAGGCACTGTCTCTTCCTTCTACCATGGAAAATGGCCTTTGGTCTGCTGACCTTCCTGGTGAACCTCGGTGCTTTGGAGCTTGAGCTTGATGCTAGTGGGAACTGGTGCCTCGTTCTGCATCGAGTGGGACAGAGAGTGCTCCTGGGGCAATAAAAAAGGATGCAAGAAAGCACAGGAGGTTCCGAAAGCGCCAGCGTTGGCATTAAGTTCAAGGAGAGGGGGTTGCCCCTGCTCACATCCAAATATCAGTCATTTTAACGTTATAACTCTGCAAGTTTTTTCTGAATCATGAGGAAAGATACCCTGTGGATGTAAAACATAGCACGGCTAAATGTTTTCGGGTAGAAGTATGAAATCATCTTTATTTCCTGCTTTGTTGCCGTGTATGCACAAGTAAACCAAGGAAATTCAAGTGGATATGGCTAAGTAGGATCCAAAATTGTTTTAAAGGATACATCTGGATTGCAGTTTCATCTTCTGCCTGGGTCATTGTGTCAAGGCAATATCTGTATAACCTTCCTGGGGAGGTAGGAGACCACAGGCCTAGGAAAGATGTGGGTTAGCATCTTTGGGAATACGCACTTGGTAAAGCTTTGCTAGGTTTGAAAATGTGGAGATGACAGAAAAAGCATTGAAACATGAGAAGACTCAGCCCTCTGCAGTGCTTTATCTACTGGGGAGGTGTAGCCTCCAGTTAGGTCCAATGATGTCCCGTAAATATTCTTGCAGATTCTGCTTATGTCAAGGCCTTGGCACAAAGCACTTCTTCACATTACTGAAGAAGCAGGTATTCTTAAACTTCAAGAGCAATTGCAAAGCCCTTGATTATAAATAGGGGTCAGAAGCCCGGGGATGAGGTTCCTTTTGAAAGATGGCACCTCTAAGGTTAAACACCAGCTCTCAGCTGCTGCAAGACAGAAAAATGTTTTAGCTGCCTTCTTCAGGAAGGTGTCATTTGAGAAGAATGACCTGGTGGAGATCCTCAGCTCTCCAGCACTGATGAGTGCACGAGATGAAACCGAAGCACCATCTGAAATTGGATAGTTGTGCTAAGCACTTCCTAAGTTCTTATCTTCCCAGTTTTGACACTTCTCATTTGCAGCTGTGTTCCTATTTTTGTCATGGAGAACCTAACCTGTCCAGGCGTCGGGTCCTTGGCATGTTTCTTGGGCAGGAGTGAGCGAAGGCGAGCTGGCATGAGGGTGCAAAATACCCTTGAGGTCTCTGCCAGGACTGAGTGCTGGGTGCATCCAGCTTCCTCATGCAAGCTTGCATGTAGGAAGTGCAAATGGAACCTATGTTTCATCTGTGGCTGGGCTTGGACCCACACTGAACTGTTGGCATGGACATACCCCTATTTGATTTGCACCCAGGTCTCATTTTAGCTGCTCCTGGCTTGATGAGGTGGTGAAGCCTGCAGCAGAGTGGTCTCACTCAGAGCAGCCAGCTGCTTACTGCAGCCCATGGTGCTTGTTTTCCAGCTGCTACCATCTGGTGCTGTGGAGCTGGAAGGTGCTGCAGAGCCGGAGAGCCCAGTGAGGATCAAGGAATTGATGCAGTTTATGGAGGCAGAGCCCCTTGCCTTGGGAGTGGAGGAGGTAAGTGGGAATCTGACTTGCTTATGTAGCCCCCCGTTCCCACAGTGGCCCTCAGTGCTGCTCACAGAGTGGCCTCACACCCCTCCAAGCACATGGCACAGCACTGCTGAAGCAACTGGTCGTTGGAGAGGCCATGCGGGCCACATCATAGGGTTGACCAAGGATGTTACCGGTGCAGTACCTATGGAGGGCATTATTCATCTTGTTATTAATCGAGTGGTCAATAGGAGATTTCTGCAGTAGCTTTCACTGTAGCATCTTGAAAGAGAGCAGCATGTAAGTCAGAGAGACTGAAAAGCATCAGGAGTCAGATAAGCTGGGCTGGAGTCTTCTCCCCGGCTCCAAGGGCTCTCGCCTCCAAATGTCATGTTTTTGTAAAGGCAGTAAAAGGTGTTTTTTAAAGGGAAGTTATGCAGTGGAGAGAATTTCTTGCTGCCAGGAGACATCCCAAATTACTTTAATGTAGTGTATTAATTAATGCATTAATTAGTGAGTATGGGAGATTTTTTCCATGATCCCTCCACTGGTAAGTGGAATGGATGCAGGATGAGATTAGGATGATTTTGCTTGTGTTTGAGGAAGAGGTCCCTCCAGGCATGTCTGTACTTTGCTCCAAGCCATGGTTGCTCTTCTGCATCTATTTTCATGTTTGACATCTCGATCTCTCCTTCCGTACCTCCAGGTTTTCGATGTCCTACCACTGTACGGTGTGCTGCAGCCGGGAGAGAGCCAGAGGGTCATGTTCACCTTCTTTGGCCACACAAACATTGTCGCCCATGTCATGGCACTGTGCCAAGTGGAGGGAGGGCCGACCTATGAGATCAAGCTGAGTGGGGAGGCTTCACTCATCAACTACCTCCTAAACGTCACGGAGATTGATTGCGGGCTGCAGGTATTGCACGCTTCTCTTGGCAGAGGTCCTTGTCTTGAAACCATCACTACTGGCAGGTTGCTACCCACCTAGGTCTAGGGCTCTCTCCCCTTCCCAGCTACTTTGTTGGCTCTATGGCTTGGAAGTACAACCTTTGAGTGATACATCCTGCATCCAAGCTGGTTTTTAATGGCCATCTCCACCCCTCCTAAAGTTGGGAATTTCTCCTTTTCAAGGCAACTAGTGCTGTCTCCTGGGGCAGGCAGGATCCCAATGGTGATCTCCAGAGGGACATGCCCCAAGACATCCATCCGCTGATCCGCTCCTAAAGCCTGAGGTCCAAGGAGATGCTCTCTTTTAGTGCTCTTGATTAATCAACAAAATAAACCAGGGAGGAAGTTAACTTGGGCTTCCTAGTCACTGTAGGTAGAAAGAATGTCCCAGAGTAATCCCCACTTTTCAGTTAAAAACCCCACAGATATTTCCAGCTGTTGGCCCTGTATGTGTTGCACTGTCTCCCCTTTTGCTGTCACTGCAAGCACTGCAAATACTTGTATGCGGGTGCCTTTTCTTCTGCAATGTCTTGATGCCATCTCCTTTGTTTCAGCTAGGTGGTAGATGGCATCTTAAAGTGCAGAGAACTTGTATCCTCTTTGGTTTCTTTATTACTGGTCTTTATGTGGTTGGTATTGCCCCTCTGCATGCTGCCATAAATATCTGTTGCTGTGTCAGGCGAAGAGGTACCCTGTGGCTGTGGGTTCCCCAGGTTATCCTGGGAGAGTGAAGTGCTCGTATCTCCCCTGCTTCTCTCCTCTGCTGTGTTTGTTTGCTGTCATCCCAATGAAAGAAGGAGATTCCCAGTATCAGGCCTGTGTCTTCAGCTTTCCACTTCTCTGTTCTCTCTTCAGCGGTTTAATGAAGTCACTGAAGCAGAGATCACCCTGCAGAACAGTGGGAAGGTGGGATTCACCTATGTGGTGCTAAGCCCCAGCGCGGCCACTGCAGACAGCCCTCTGCCCGGCGTGCCCCTCGTCATCCCCAGCACAGTGAGTCCGGGGGTAGCACAAGTGATTAACCCTGACCATGTCAGGCTGCCCAAGAGAGGGTTATAGGGAAAACAAGGGGAAGAAAACAAAAGAAAAAAAAAAGAGAAAAACCCACAAAAGCAGACAGGAGAGACAGGGTTGTAAGCAATTGCTGCTGTGGGGGGCAGAGAAGAAGGTCAAGCAAGTGTGGTCCTAATAGACTCCCTTAATGGCCTTTGCTGGCGGGTGGCTCTGCTATCATACAGCAACCACTGGCGGAGGCACGACTGCCTCCGTAGCTCTCTGGACCCCAGCTGCTGGGTTCTCTGGTTGTGCGGACGCTGGAGCCGGATGATGCCAGCATTCCTGAGGGTCACCTTACCCAGGTTGTGTGATCGGACGGGACTTACTCCTTGTCTCTGCCTGTTACAAACCCTGCCTGCCCCCTGCCAGCACGAAGCAGGACTTAACTGCTTTCTTGCTTCATGAAGCTCCTTTGCTAAGAATTGTAACAGCTCCTGTAGTGGTCCCTCACTCCTTCAGCTTTGCTGCTCTGCAGCAGCTTTGAGGGGCAGTGAGGGGGCCAGGGAGGACCAGGGCTGGAACAGTGAGGGGAGGAGTTTGCAGCATCCCACCATCCCAGCTTTTCAGTCTTGCATGGATGTTTTTGAGCTGGAGCAGCATTCCTATCTATGTCCCTTTTTACGATGGGAAGAGGAAGCCAAAAGGCTCTCACATTCTGTCACGCTTGTCTCCTACAAGGGATGACACACTGATGTCCTCTTCCTGCGAGCTTCTGAAGATACAGTTCTGCTTGGACCCATGATGTAACAGCATCATCAATGCTGACAGCTTGACAGGGCTCGCTTTTGCTGCAGCTGCGTTGTGCACCGGAGTAAGGGCTCAAGGGACCAAGTGGCAGGATCTGTCCCACTCAGCAGCTTCTCCCTGCAGTGTGGAGGGGAGCGGGCAGCTGAGGGTCCAGCCCCGTGTGCAGAAGGCGAGCCAAAGAAAGCTGTGGCTGTGCTCTGTCATCCAGAGCCGTGTTGCTGTCTGCTTGCATTTGCTCTCAACCTCGCTGGCATGAGCCCAGCCCGGGGCTCGGACAGCCCTTCTGGAAGCCCGTAGAGGAGGTGTCCTTTCCATCAACACCTTCTTCCCTAGATCTCATCCTAGTTTCTGCTCCTGCATTTCCAGAGATGTACGTTTGCAGATCACTGTGAGTCTGGATAGGCTTGTCCACCCTCAGTGTAACCACACAGGCAGGAGGTGTTTTGTTGGGATCATTAATAAGGGGTCAGGCCCTTCAACACCAGCCTGGGAACCACTGATGTGCTGTGACAGGAGCTGCTGGTCCTGCTGAGAGCACAGGCGTTTCACTCATCTTCCATAGTAGCTGGTAAAAGAGCTTTTATTTGTTCAGTCTGGCTCTTGCTAGCAGAGGGTAAACACCGTTAGCAGAAGAGCTGTGCTCATGTTGAGCAAAGGGCAGTCTGTCCTGTGGGAATGCAGCCTTCCGAGTCCTCTAAAGGACATACTGCATCCTGGTGTAGGAGAATTGAGCTTTTGGAAGAAGAAAGCTAGAAAGCAATGTTGTCTGACATTTTCTTATGTATGAGAAACTGTCATCTCATCTCAGCATGTCTGTCATCTGAACCATCCTTCCACCAAACCCTCTTTGGTACGTTCCTTCTCTCTTCTCCCACGCCCTGCAGGGCTACATTGGACCTGGCAAGGAGCAAGTGCTCAAAGTCTATTACCTGCCAGGAGTGCCTGGAGTCTTCTGCAGGACTTTCCAGATCCAAGCGGGTCACCTGGAGCCAGAAGAAATCTCCCTGAAAGGAGAGGGGGGCTTTCCCAGGATCTACTTGGACCTGCCCAGGAACATCAAAGGTGAGCACTGCCTGCCTGCTCCCCAGGAAGATCCCCTGTTTTTTCCACCATGCCATATACCCATAGGGCAGCTCGCACCCATCTCCACCAAGCCTAGAGGTGTCAGGGCTGTCAGACCAACACTTAGTCCTCTGGTTGCTTCCTGAGTCTCTAGAAGCCTGTGTGGGCTTTGCCCCAGGAACCCTCCTGTAGAGCTTGCCAGCATATCTGTCGGAGTCCTGGCAAAATGATGGCTAGACAGAAACGCTCGGGAAAGCTGTAATAGGGGCTGGCAGGGATTTTGGCAGGGTTGGATTTGTATCACATTGCAGGGGATGAGATGCTCCTATGTGGGGAGGAAGATGGGTGGGGGTGAACATCAGGATTCATAGAGGAAAAGCAGCATCCACTTCCCATACATTGCTCCAGGAGTGTGTTTCTGGAGGAGGCCAGCGTTGGGGGAGTGGGGCTTCCCAGTTCAAATGGGAATGGCGCTGTGCCCACACTTCTAGTTGTGGATGTTTTCTTCCTTCAGGAAATGAAAAATATGAGAAGATCCTCAAGGAGGTGAAAGAAAAGATGGAAGACGACAGCCAGAGAGATGGAGTAGTTGTTCTGGAGGAGGCTGGGGCTGCGGAGCCACCCACGGATGACTCGGGCACCATGGTGAGAATGGCTGCTGCCCCATTTGGCACATACCACCCTCCCCTTGTCTCGTTTGGTCCCCTTGCACCCCGCAGGAGGCTTCCCAGTGCCCTGCTGGCATATGGGACTTCCCTGCCCACACTTGGCCATGATCATACATCAGCTCAGCATTGCCCCGGGGGCTGCCCACTTCTGGCAGTTGTTCCTCCTGTAGGTGCATGAGCTTCCTGGGCTGCCCCAGGGAGAGATCCTGAAGACCACACTCAAGTCATTGGATTTATGGTACTTTGTGACGGAGATGCAGGTCATTGCTGTGGTATTTGTTGCTCACAACCTAAGCCCTGCCAGGTTTACAGAGCTTAATAGCAGCAGCCCAATTGCAACCTGGGACTGTGCTGTCAGCGTTCATCTCCAAGAGGCACCAGCTTTACCGTGGTTCCCTTTTCAAGAGAGCTTTTGTCCAAGCTGCTTTGGCACTGGCTGGAGGCAGGAAAAAATACTCAGAGCTCTGGAAGGTTCCTGGCTTGTCTGTCTGTCTGGCCAGATCAGCTTTTATAACAGCGAATGGGCAGGTGAAGATGCTGGAGTTCATTTCTCTTGAGATCAGATCCTGACTAAGAGTGCAGGAGGTGTCACAGACACTGAGCAGCGAGACAGAAGGACCCCATCACCCCTCTCAATAAGAGCAGGGTGGGATCCTCTTTCAGAGACAAACCTGTGCCTTGGGAAGGACTTTTGCCAACCAGCCACTGTCTTTCCTTTCCTCAGTTGGACACTTGGCTGCAGATGCAGATGGAGCAGATGCTGATAGAGGAACATGCCCTGGAGCAGCAGAAAGCTCTTGCCTCTGGTCCCCCGGCGGATACTGCCTTTGACCAGCGTGCTCGTCGGAGGCTTCTCAAGTTAGTAGGGACTCCTGTACCCTATTTCCAGGTGCCCCAAGGCTAACACCCAGCAGTGCACCCCTGCTCCTGAGAGCTCCTTGTGTTTGCAGAGCTGGGAATAGCTGGGGACTTCAGAAAGGGTCTGATCCTGATAGCTTTGACATGCTCCCTGTGGGTACATGAGTGTCCTCACTTACACAAAGCCACCCTGAGCTTTGGAGGTGTTCAACTCCCTGCAGATGTTGGGTTCTATTCTTAGAGCTGAGGGCGTCCAGTGCGGACCATCAAGCCCTTCCAGACAGCACAGGCACCATCCCTGCTGACCAGCTCTGAAAGAGGCAACTCAAAGCTGGTGTCTTTGTTCCAGCTAACAGACCACGCTAAGCAAAAAGAGCAGGGAATCTCACAGGTTGACAAACCCCAAATCAGGTGGCTTGGGTGCTGGTGGGACTGCAGGGGTTACCTAGGAAACTTGGTCCTTCCCTTTGCTCTGGCATGATGGGGCACAGGCATGGTAGGCTCCATTTCAGGAAGAAGATGCTCTGCAAAACATCATTTATGTGTTTTCCTGAGTGGGATTGCTCTGGAAAAGGACCTTCCCATGTATCTTGTAGGTGTTGATTACTGCATTTACCAGTGCTGTTTTGGGGATAGATCTGGCTGCAGAGCGGTGAAGATTTCCTGTGCAGGCAAATCTTATTACAATGTCCTGAAGCAATTTCAGGCTCGGGCTGTACACCAGGCTTAGCAGTTTCATTGAGACCAGTGGAGGTCCAGTGGACTTACCTACAATGGCTTTTTGTAGCAGAGGAGCTGTGACCAGTATCCATTTTAAACTAATGTTATTTTAAGGTCCCATTGGTAGCTGATAAAACCTAGGACTTATGCTCCCCGTGGCTTGCAAAAGTCTTACTACCAGATGGTCAAGCCTTGGGTTTCATGGGCTTGAGTTGGCTTTTTACAGCAGTGAATACAGAAATATCCACTTTATTTGCATCTTCTGCCCACTTAGAAATATAGCCAGGCTGTGGTTTAAGGACTGTCCTTACTCCTCCTTTCAGAGCTGAGCTGCCTGAGTATGTCCTGGACTTTGGCTATGTCATTCTCGGTAACATCCACACACACATAGTGAAGATCACCAACACTGGGCAGTTCCCCGTGTGTTTCCATGCTGATGGATGGGTCCTGCATGGCACAGGTAACAGTGCTGGACAGACTTCATGTGGGCTTGAAGGAGCTGTCTCTGACAGATTAGCTTAAGCCACTGGACATGTGGAGTTTTTTGAGTGCTCATTTGTATCGCTTTTTCCTCCTTGGGATCCTCTGCCCAGTGCTTTAGAGCCTGAGTTCTCCTGACCAGCAGTGCCCAGAGACCTGGCCTGTCTGTGACTGCTCCAATACTTCATTGCAGGGGCTAGATGGGCTTGGTGACCTTGGTCACCTCTCTGCATCTTCTGCTCTTGGCTACCATGAGCATCACCTGAGTTTCTTTGTGCACTCTGTGGGCTTGTGTTGGAAACAGATGGACCCTTTGTGGTTTGGAAGTGCTTTGTTTAAATTTCATAATGTCATAGCACTTCTGTTAGCCTTTATTGAGAAAACAGCCTATGAGGTCCTCTGTTGTATCAAAATAGGCTTCCGAAGCAGGCCTTGAGGTAAGGCTTCAGTACCATCAAACTGTGACACGTGTCTGAAGGACGGTCAGGTGTCTCCTCTAAGTTGTTTTCCAGGGAGCACCACAGCATGGGGCAATCTCTAGTTGGAAATTCTCCTTTGGAGAGGTCTGCGCATCTTTCCCTGGGATGCGTGATGAAGGAATTTCTGGAGTTCCTCAACTGCCGTGCTTCCTTTTTACTATGTGGGGCTTGGATTCTGGCTGTGAAAACCTTCTCCTTGGACAGTGACAAGGGAGGAAGAGTGGCAGGCTTTTCCACAGATGCAAAGAGCTGCCAGCCAGGACACCCATATGGCCTTAACGTGCTTGTAACACATTCATGTTGATTGTGTATCTCAGCTGCTTTATTTTCATCTGTTCAAGGTTTCAGCGTGGAGCTGGACCGCGTGAAGCACCTGCCCTACTGTGAGACAGAGACATTCGAAGTGCGCTTCGACCCACAAAGTGCCAACCTGCTGGGAGAAGTGGATGTGCTCCTGCCCATCGAGGTACTGCATGCTTCCTCACCTTCCTGTGCCCACACCACCTTTTGGGGCAGGTGGCACATTGGGGACAGCAGCAGATGTCACCTGGGCTCTCAGCTGGATGTTCTGTCCTTCACTAGGTAGCAGGAGGCCCCACATTTCACATCCGCCTCCGTGCCAACGTGGCTGTGCCGTCCCTCTGCCTCTCCAGGGACAGACTGGAGTTCTCCACTGTCCAGTGTGGGCAGTGCCGGGAAGAAACCATCCAGCTCCACAATCAGCTCCAGGTCCCCTGTAAATGGTTCATCACCATGAATGAGCCTGTTAAGAAGGTAAAGCACAGATAATGTTTAACATGTAACTTCTTGGTGGGGTTTTCTTTGCCTTTCTTGCCTTTTCTACCCCTGTGGCTGCTTGAGTACTTGGGCTACAGCTCATTTGAGGAAGCTTTCAAGGGTACAGAGCAAGGCTGGTTCACCTGGACCCATTAATTAGCTGATGCTTCACTTCCCTGCCACCTTCACCCATTCCTCCTTTTCTGAGGACAATGCCTCCCCATCTGCCTGCCCTGCCTACATGTTTTTTCTCCAGTTCTAGGCCACTGGTGGCCACATCTGGTTTGGATATGGGTGTTCTCAGCACTGTGACAGTATCTCAGAAGACTGCAGGAACTGAGGGTCTGTCCTCACAGACCAAGAAGACCTCACACAATTGGGTTTTTGTGCTCAGGTGGACAAACATTTGCCAGCAAGCGTGCGTCGGAAGCTGCTCCAGGAGTTGAAGGCCAAGACCTGTGTCTTCAAGGTGCTGCCCTCCGCTGGAGCCCTCGCTCCAGGACAGCGATGCAACATGCGAGTCAGGTTTTCACCCACGGAAGAGGTGAGATTGGCAGGTGTCACCCCCAGGAGGTCTGGTAGGGCAGTGTGGTAACGAGAGCCCAGCGCAGGGAGGAGATGATGAGATCTGCCTCTGCATGGAGCTTTCTGCAAGCCCTGTACCCGCTGTGCCTTTTTCTCCTGCAGGACGCTCTTCTGAGAAGGGCTTTGAAATCCCCATGGGGAACTTGCACAGAGAGCATCAGGACACTGCGGTGTGGCTAACTCTCAACATGTGGGGGGAAAATCTGCCTGTTTCCCCTCATCTTTCCCCTTGCATGCGCTTATTTGCAGGCTGTAATGCCCTGGTGCAGAGCAGCTGGCACGCTCACAGTTGATAATTCTGGAAGGGCCAATCTAGGCTAATCCTGCTGCTGGTACCAGCAGACAAAACAGCCACCAGACACCTTCCTGGGCACAGCAGGACAGTCACCTGTAGTGATGTGCTGCCAGCAGTCCCTGTGGCTCTGGCCCAGCCTGTCTGCATGTTCCCATGCAGTTTGGGAGTCAGCTTAAATGATGGAGCATTCCCAAAGGCAGTTTGCATGTGGCCACTGTGACTTGGAAACTGGCAGCGTGTAAGTATGGACACAGGTACTTCCATGCCTGGGAACAGTCCCAGGGATGTTTTAATTGCTAGTAGAGATGTAACCATCTTGTCTCTGGCTTTGACCAGAGCCAAACACTGAGCAGAGATGACCCTTATTTCTAGCCAGTGAGAGCTCATCTGCCTCTTTTCATATAGCTAATGTTTGCCTGACACAGCAGTGCCAGGACTGCATCTGGGCAACATTACCCTGAGGACCTTTCTCATGAGCACTGTGCTCCCTCATGACTAGGTGAAAACATCTGATAGTCCATTTTAGATTCATCTGATACCCAAATATCCAGTTACGCTTCACACCAGGATCCATCCCAGTTACTCAGAGCCAGCGTGCAGATGCTGTAGCCCCTGCCATAAATAAATACCTGTTTTCCGTTTGCCTTAGAGGTACCGATAACACCCCTGACCTTGGGGCAAGAGTTGAATTTGAGGCTCTGTCACCTGGGACTTAATGGAGGAGCTTTCTGCACTTCTCTCTTTTCAGAAGTCCTACAGAAGCGAGCTGAAGATTAACATTTGCCAGAGCAACCAGCACCTCCAGCTGCAGGTCTTGGGGCATGGGCTGGAGCCACAGCTGGAGTTCAGCCCCCCAGTGCTCGAGCTGGGACCATTGTTGCCGTCCAGCCGTGGGGCGGAGGGGACAGTGGTGGTGAAGAACCCATGCGAGTTCCCCATTGAGTTTTACTCGCTGGAGTTTGACCAGCAGTACCTTGCTGAGGAGCAGGTGAGAGGGAATGTCTGGTCCCCATGTGCATGCTCCCATAGCTTCACAGCACTCCAGCATTCCCAGGCTTGCGCCAGGGAGATGGAGGCAGCAAAGCCTGGTGGCACTTTAGGGTTAGCCAGCTCTGTTGGCAGGCTGTGGAGGGGCTTGGATAAGTCCATGTTGTTGGGAGGAAGGAATGAGGGAGAAGATAGGTTTGTTGGGGAGTCTATTCATGTGATAAAGGTCAAGAAACGCATCCCATATATGGTTTCTCTTCCCTATGTGCATAGATCCTGCGGATGCTGAAGGACTACGATTGCCACAACACCTTGTTGCTGCCTCCTCGTGCCCCGGGTGAGAAGCTGCCCCCAGAGGTGCTGGAGTACAACCAGGACCAGAAGAGGCTGCAGGATGAGCAGGCAAAGTCCAAGACTGGGGAACCAGTAGGCCAGGACAATGGTGAGGGTTTGGCATTGGCTGTCCTGAGTGTGGACACAGCAAGGATTCCAGCCCACATACCCTAAGCTCTCCATGACCTCATTCTCCATGGAAAGCCCGTGCTTTTAGCAGCCACCCGTTCCCCAGCTTGGTGGAGGAATTCTGGGGTGAAAGCGTGTAGCTTGTAACACACATCCTCTACTAGCCATGAGTGCAGCCAACGCAAGCTCATATCTGCCTGCAATGGACTGGGGAAATAGTCACGATGTCCCTTTGTGTCCCTCCTCCACAAAAAGTAGGATTGGATGAGGTTTTTTGGCCAGAAGGACCAGGTCTAATGTCACCAGTTATCTTATATTTGCTTCTTCCCAGCAAAAAAGCACAAACTCAGAATCCGCCCGAGGGTGGAGACAGCCTGGACAGGCTTCTCCTTGGGAAGTTTTCCATCCTTTGCATGTGGGAAATGGCAAAGAGTAGATTGCCTGACTCTGTTCACCCTCTTCTTCCCTCCCCATGTCCTTCATTGTCAGCAAACTTTGAAGATGTCCAGTCTCCATCAGATCAAGGAAGAAAGCACTCTGCTGGGATTGTTCACACTGTTTCATCCCATAGCTCAGTCATTCCCTTCTCCATTTGTGATGAAAGGCAGTCCAACAAGGTGGACTCTAAATCTGAATGTGGAGAAGAGGAAGGTGTTGAGAAAAGACAGGGAACAGGTAATAACCTAAGCTCTTCACCTCTTTTATGTCCATTGTGGCAAAAGGGCCTCAGTGGAGGACTTCAGTGTCACCTCCATCACTTCACTGCAGCCTGGTGCCATCTTCACTCCTGTAGGCCCTGAATCTGCTCTTGCATACGAAGTCTGTAGGATCCTGAGAAGAGTTTAGGGCAGGGACGAGTGAGAGGCCAGGGAGGTTTCCCCCAGTTTTGCCAAATGAGCACCTTTGCCCCCAGGAGCTGCTGGGATCAGGATGATGCTGTTCCCTTTCCTAGGCAGGGCAGCACTCTCTCTGTCCTCAGTGGCACTGCAAGCTGAGATGGCTTTTGGTGACCTCCTAAGCTTTTTGCAAATGCTGTTATGGTGAATTCAGAGCTGCAGGTCCTAGTATAATATTCCTAAAGCATCCAGCTTTTGGATAATCGCTTGATCCCCAAATGGAGCCCCTCCCTTGGGACTGTGTAAAATGCCTAGTTTTGCCTGTCCCCGCCTTACTCAGCAGGACCTGGGACCAAACTCCCATGAGGACTATGTTGACAGTTCATGGAAGGAGATTTGGCCCAGTCCTTTTAGGTATTGCCAGATGCTTGTTCTTTTGTCTTTCTGTCACCTCATTTACTATACTCTGAATAGGCACCTTCACCAGCATCTAGGGCAGACCCTGATCTGCACAAACCTAGAGGAGAGCCATGGTGAGACCGCAGGTGTGATGTTGGCTTCAGCGGAGTCTCCTCTCCCAGGATGTGAGGGGATGGGGAGGATGATCAGGATCACAGGTAGGCAGGAGGCTGACTTTTCTACCTGGTTCTTCACAGCAGAGCATCAGCAAAGCACCACCAGCAGCAAGGAGGCCACAGGAGAACTGGACGACAGCCCTGTCTATAGGGCCATCGCCCGCCACCTTGGCACCGACATCTCTGCAGAAGGGCGCGCAGCCCGAAACCGCAGAGGGATCATCGTCATCGTCCATGGGGCACCCCTGACAGGTACGGGAACCATAGCCCTTGGCTGCAAGAAGGGGGGGAAGCAGGAGAGACGTATCCTGGTGGACCATGGTGCTTGGTTGTCCAGTTGAAGTGAAGCGAGGTAAGCCACAGCTCTGCTGGCACGTGAAACGGTCCCAGGCCTTTGCCTAGCTAGTGCAAGTGGTGTGGCTCATCTTGTGTCCGTACAGCTAGGCTCTTGTTTCCCCAAACAAGGTGGCCACGTCCCCATTGCTTTGTGGGACCACATTGCCTAGTGTCCATGTTGCCTCCTGGGAGCAGTCCCTAGCCCATACTGACCCACAACTGTGCCCAGATGTTGCCTGAGTCAGCACCGACCAGCCCAGGCTAGCGAATGGTCTTGAGTGGTGGTGGGACAGGGCTCAAAACAATGTCCTGGCCCAGGGTTGAGGTCACCACAAGGGACAAAGACCTCAGCTCAACATGAGGTGGAGACGATCTACCTGGCTCTAGAGTTCAGCACTTGTAAACATGCTCAAGCTGCCTCCCTCATGGTCTCTCCTGAAGGGGCACTTGCTTTCCGGCCGTCCTTGAAACTTTGAAATCCTGTCTGGGGGCTTTCCAGAGCCCTGAAAATGCCTCACGTGCAAGTGTAACCAAGCAGTCTTCCTCTTTCTCAAGGAAAGACAGTGGCAGCGGTTGCCCTGTCCAAATATTACAGTGCTGCCTGCTTGTCTATCGACGCTGTGGTGACAGAAGCCATCTCAGACAGGAGCAGCTCAGCAGGGCTCCGTGCCCGGGAGCTGTGCATCAGGGCTGCCATCGAGCAGAGCCACAAAGAGACAGAGGATGCCGGTAAGGAGAAACGCTGGACCCAGAGCAGCCCTTTGGAAACACACCATGACCTTCCACTTCTTGCTCCAGAGAAGAAGTCTGACAGCCCTTGGGTCTCTTAGTGAACATGGGTGCAGCGTGTAGAAACACAAAGCCGTTTCATAAAGCATGTTTTTTATTTAAAAAAAAAAAATCTCTATTTTAAGGACTCAGCCAGGGGCACTTTTACTGTCCCTGGGCTTCTTGGCACATGTTCCTTTTCCTAGGAGTGGTGAAGCACACCTGTATTTTTCTCAGGGTTTTGTTATATTTCCTCAAAGCTGAATCCAGCTTGCTCCTCATGGCCATCAGGCAGAGCTGCTGCCCACTTTAACTGGGAAAAAGCCCTCTGAAGTGCTTCATGAAGCACTAGACAACTGACTTGGAGTGTGGCTTCACAAACATGAGAGAAAGGGAAGAATAACCTCCCAGAGGAGTTTCAGATGAGAGAGACTCTGCAGATGAGCTCTTTTCTCCAGAGATTTTCCTATATACACTGTCAGGTCACGCAGCTCATGCGTGTTGTGTTGTTCTCCATGTGAGACCGGAAACTTTTAGGAAACTTTATTGGGAGTTGGTGCCCCAAGCTCTGCAGGGTGAGGCCAGACCCTGGCTCTGGTGGGAAAGTTTTGCATTGCTCAGCTTTGAACCTGGTTATGTTGGGAGCTGGTGGAAGGAAGAAGGGTTTGGGTCCCAAGTGGGGTTATCCCACACGGAGGATTTAGCTCCAGTGGAGATGGATGATGCAGATGGGGCAGGGCTGCATGTTACACTCTCCATGTGAGAACGCAGCATGGGTGCACGGTACAGAAACGATGGTCCTGGGGGACAAATCCTTGGTTTGACCCGTAGAGGAGCTACTATGCAAACAGTGTCACCTGCATGCACATTTGTTAGGAGGGAGACAGGGCTGTGCATTAAAAACTCTGGCTTTAAAATTCAGTATCAAATGGTATCCTTTATCATGTTAATAAGAGAAGCAGGGAAGGAGCTACTTCTGGAGAGCAGTGCTCCTAGTGCCAGGCTGGGGGACGAGTGCTGTGTATGTACGAGGATGCAGGGCTTCGCCCACTGGGGTGGAAGGTGCCTGCTTGCTCCCTGCAGTGCCCATCGCCAGCCCTGCTGAGCCGTCTGTCCCCTCTGCAGGTCAAAATGCAGATGCGTCCCTCAGCCTGCAGTTCAGTGCTGAGGCCAAGCACAGCCCAGATGTGAGCCAGTCCAGCTCTGGGGACAAAGTCAGCCTGCAGTCTGTCAGTTCCCGAGGCCGGGCGAGCACCACAGCAGGCAAGAGGAAGATGGATGCCCATGCGTCCCAATCCCAGAAACAGCATGTAACAGACCCGACAGGCTCCCAGGTGAACCATGATCTGCACTGGTTAATGCCTGGGACCTTTCTGTTGCCTTTGAGAAGTGAAAGGGCTGCTTACAGTGGAGACTCCATGTCACCCAGAGACTGGTGCAGGGGCATATAGTGCAGAGAGCCAGCTGGGCATGGCTCGGGGTGGGAATGAAACCCTGTGCTCTGGCAGAAAAACTCTACTGGGTCTTAACAGTTTCTTGGCAAAGTGCAGTCCTGACTAACGTGGCTGCAGGTGGTGGGCAAAGCTGTTAGGGTGTTGTGCTGGAGGCTTGGAAGCTTGAGTCTCTGCTGTCCAAGGGATATGCTCTCCAGGGTTGTCCCCTGGAGCTGCTGGCCTGCGGTTTTGTTCTAGTCTCCTGCTAGTGAGAAATCCCAGCTCCAAGCCCAGCAATTGGAATTGTTCAGGGATTTTCCAAGTGATTTATTTTTCTTGTGGTGTTCAACATTGCAGGGCTCATCCAGTTCTCATCTCCTCTCTCCCCTTCCCTGCGTTCCTGCGCAGCAATGGCTGAGTGTCAGTGGCAGCACAGCGGGAGAGCTGGGCTTTATGAGCTGTGTGCTGCCTGAGGACTTGCTGGTGGCCATACTCTCTGAAAGGCTGCAGGTATGTGGGTGGAGGCAAATGATACGTTCCTGCTACAGAGAGACAGGCAGTGAGGTACAATGCAGAGAGGAGGAGGTCTATATCTGCTGTCAGAGGAGTCCTGGGCTGCATGCAGGGATCCTTGGGTGAAGCTGCAGATTGCATAAATTGGCAGAGCACAGGGAAAGATCAGAGCTTGTCTGAGCTGATGCACATGGAACAATGATGGCTGATGTCCTTTGACATGTGGGTTTACTGACTAGCTGAGAGCCCAATGCGTGTGCTATAGCTGACTTTTTCTTCCTTTTTGACTTTATTCGCAGTTGAGTGACTGCTACCAGGGAGTGGTGTTTGATGGCCTGGAGACGCTCTTTGCACGCAACACGGCGTCTGCTCTCCTCTGCCTGCTCAAAGCTGTCAGAAATCGGCCTTATATCTATTTTGTGAACCTGTTCCAGGATTATGCTTCTTTGAAAGCCAGGGAGACAGCCACAAAAGAACAGGAAGGTGAGACTTTTCATCTCCATACCTCTCAAATCTTCTCTCTCAAGCCCTCAACTTTATCTGTGTGTATCTGGGTTACCAGCAGAGCTTGTAAGAAATGCTTTTATTAATTCTTCCACCTTCTGCCTCGGTGTAGCCAGCACTCAGCTCACAGTTGCTTAAAATACAGCGGAGCTGAGGCTGTAAGACTTACCTGAGTCTCTAACATTAAAGCTTGGGCATAAGTGCAAGCTGCTGTGGCTCAATAACTAACCACTGGCCAGCTGTCCGCAATGCTGGTGCACGTGAGCCAGGCAAAGCATGGGGACTCGCTGACCGGCGATAGTTTGGGGGATGATCTGAACTGTGGAGCAGGGATATGAGCTGCCCAGTATCTCCTGGCAGGATGATGGGCTGGGTCGGGACAGAGCTGTGAATCCTCACAGCTCACCCAGAATAGCAAGCTCTGCTTGCAGTTACTACTGGTTTCTCCTCTGGTCTGTGCTGAAGGACGGGAGCAGGAAGAAGCTGCCAGGAGGGAAAAAGCACGTCTCTGGGAGATGGATGAGGACGAATATGATGCACTCACTGAGGAGCAGAAAACTCAGTTTAATAACAATATACGAGAAGTCCAGCGTGAGAGGAAGAAGAGGTCTGTAGCCTTCTGTGGATAACTCCCCAGTATAGTGTCCCTGAAGTGTTTCCCTGCTCCAGAGACCTTGATTATGCTCAGAGGGGTTACAAAGCAAAGGCCAAAAGTGTCTATTACAAGCGGCACAAGGATGGCCAGTTCCACCTCCCTGGTTCCCAACAGAGAAAGGACCTTTCTCCAGTGAGATGAGAACACCTTCTCTCCATTTTAGCAGTGAGCCCTCCAGCTTAGATGCTGGCTGCAGGGAGCTGGGCTTTGTGCTTGCCTTGCTGCTGCACTTTTAAGTGTTTCTAAGTTAATTATGTTGATTCTCATCTTATTCATCCCCTTCCTTCACCAACCCAGAGGGGCTGTGGTATGGGTTGGTGTGAGACACAGCTGTACTGGCTTGGTTTGGATCCCAGTCCTGCTGTAGGTCAAGTCCTTGCCATGCTGATCTCTCAGGTTTTCCCTTACTGAGTGACACCAGCCATAAAAGCTGGTGTTTCTTAAGCTCACTTTCAGCTGCAGCAGCAGGTGAGCCCGGGAGAAGCTCTGATCCAGCAAAGCAGCCTTGTTCAGGAGGATGTGTAGGACAAGTGTAAGCCTGTATTAATCCCTGCCTGAAACTCAGGGAGGGACTTGCTTAAAGTGAGCATATGTTTCAGCAATTCTTTCAGCCCCAGCTGAAGTTTGCTTACCTGGCAGGAGATCACTAGGGCTGCTTCAAATTATGATTTCCAGGACAGGCAGCACAAGTTTCCCATGGTCACAGCTGGGTTCCAGCAGGAAACCTGGTTGTTCAGAGCCTGTTTTGCAGGAGGGGAGTTACTGCAGCCTTTGCTTTCTGATTGATATGATTGTTCTCACTAAGGAGTGGGCTATGCCCAGGAAGAATGGCTGGAAAAGCCAAGTACTGGTGCAGGGATAAGTAGTTGTTAGTGATTTGTGAGCTGGTTTACACTGGGAAATCAAGAGAGGGCTCCAGGCAGCAGTACGGAGTGATGGTGCATCGGTCTTCAGCACTGTGCTGGAGGTGTCCAGATAGACCTTATGGGGGAATTTGCACAACTGAGACCTTATGACAGCAAGGCTTAGCTTTGGCTGGCTCTGGAGGTTTCCTCCCACCCTTCCTCACTTTGGATGTTCCCAGCCTCTCCAGGCTCAGGGAAGCCCATGGAGATGGTCTAATGGTTCTGCCTGGCCTCAGGGTCAATGACTGAAATGCAGGACCAGCTGGGATTGCAGTGAGCAGATTTCTGGTGGTGACTCTCAGGGATGTTTTCTGTCTGACTTGCTGAAGGGAGATGGAGCAGCTGGCTCGAGAGCTTGAGGAAAAGCACCAGCGGGAGCTAGAACGCTTGAAGGAGGAAGAAGAGCTGAAGAAGAAGTCTAAGCGGGGGAAGAGAGAGCCTGGAAAAGACAAAGATAATGCTCTGGGGAAGAAAAGCCAGCCTGGAGTCAGGCAGGTGGGTGGTTGTGTTTATAGAGATGAGTAAAAGCCCTGGGGACCTTCCCGCTGAGCTGTACCATTCCCCGAGAAGCCGGCAGCCGCACGCAGTGCTGGGCAACCTGGTCATGAATAACACATGGGGCTGTGCTGGGAAACAACAGCCGGTGTTTGATCATGCTGCTGCTTCACTGGGGGTGTTTTCCCATGGGTTTGTTGGTAGAGCTCCTCTGCTAGGATCATGCTGTCTTTGAATCATCGCTTCGTGTAACTACATACATTCACTGTGAAGCCCTAGATAGTTTTAGTCCAGCATTTTTCCCGACTCTGCATGTGACTTACACCGCTGAGCCATGATCTATCTGGGATATGGTATCTTTTCCTACATGTCTGGCAGGAGATACCACCAAGCCTTAGGTATTCATTGACAGCCAGACTTCCCAAAGTGTCAGCCAGTCACAGGGATGCTCAGCACACCAGAAACAAGCCTAGAGGACTGCACAGGAGTAAGGATGTGTCTTCAGTTCCCTGCTTGGCCTGGGGAAGCTGTTCTGTTTCTCAGCTGGTTTGCAGGACTCCTCATCAGTCTGATACTGGAGAGTATGGTTTCAGTTGAGCTAAGCTGGGTACCAGCTATGTTCTGAATTGGGATTTGTAGAGCACCTAGCATAGGTCTCGCACGAGGCTTGGGGTACTATTGTAAAGATCATCACTGTCCTACAGCATTTGAGTCAGTGCTTTGAAATGCTCACTGCTTTTTCCTGCTCCTCCTGCCCAGAACATGAACACATCCACCAGCAACACCAAAGCATCCACCACCAATCAGTCAGATGTCACCGAGGGGGCAGACAAGAAGGGATCTGTAAGGGAGCAGCACCCAGACTCTGTTGCAGGTGACAATGAAGATAAGAAAAAGCAGAGCATAGTTCCCCTGGCGGATGCCTGCTCGGCAGTGGTTGTGGAACCCTCAGATCCAGAACAGGGGGAAACCAAAAACGAGGCCCAGAGTGACAGCGAGAAGAACTTGGCCCTGAGGTTTAAGATCTACGAGGCATCGCAGAAGGATATCACGCAGATTTTGTCATCCTGGGACAGGGTTCAGGGTATCCTGCTGTCCCCTCTGAACCAAGAAGAGGTGCGGCACCAAGCAGAAGACCAGCGCCAGCATTTATCTAGCCGCAGGAGCCGGAAAGACAGAGAGAAGGAGCGCCTGGAGAAGGAGCGCCTGGAGAAGGAGCGCCTGGAAAAACTGAAGGCTCTTGAGGACTCCAGGTTATCTTGGCTGGAAGGGGAAGGTGCAGAAGGATCAGCCAGAGGTCAGGATGTTGGGGTGCCCTGCTTGGACATCCAGGTGCTGAGCTCAGAAGATGTGACTAGGAAGATCCTGGAGAGTGGCAAGCTGCCAGCAGCAGAGCAGGTAAAAGCCCTGCAAGGCTCAGATGCTGAGCCTGCCATGGTCTGGGCCCTGGTGCACTGTGTCCCACCAGGTGACAACAGCACCGAGCCTTGTCCAGGCCACTGATGATGTTCCACGATGGCTCCACAGCAGCCATGTGGCTGGGGAGGTTCTCACTGTCCCTCAGATAGGTGGAAAGAGGGAGTGCTCTCTGTTCAAGCATCCTGTCTGTTCAGAGAGCTTCCCAGTATGGAAATCATTAACAATGGTCCCAGGGCAGAGCAGCTTATGGTCATTGTTTCCTTCAGCTGAGTTGCTCAGAGGAGAGATTTCTCTCTAGATTCCACTTGTAGGTCCTGGCATTGCTCTGGAGCGTGCCCACCCCAATGGGCATAGAAAAGCACTGTACTCCATATAAATAAAAAAAAAAACATTGCCCAAAGCTCAGTGCCTTTAAGGAATTGTGAGGATGAAGGCGATGGGAATATAAACAGAGTTTTCTCTTATGCTTTAGATCCTGAATGAGCTGGGACTGGGTCCTTCAGGGCCTCCCATTCCCCCTACTGCTTTCTACTCTGTGATCCATTACCCGGAGAAGCGGATGGCCCCTGCAGCAGGAGAAGCCCTCAAGCACTTCATCTTTGTTGCGCCAGAAGGTGCCACTGCAGAAGAAGAAAAGAAGGATACTGAAAGTCTCATGGATGCCCCTGTTGTGCCCACAGTGAAGGTACCAGGGCAGGGGCCAGGCTAGATGGGGGCATGGGGGGCAGATGGAATGGAAAAGGGTCACTGTGGAAGGGCAGTGAAGGCATGACGGGGCCCCATGTCTGTGGGCATCCCTTGTGTCTGTCCAAAAGAGACAGTTCTGCTTGAGACATAGGGCAGTTCTGTAAGGCAAGAAAGAAAAAAAAAAATCATCTAAACGCCTCAACTTCCCTTGAGGAGAGGGTCCTGGGCGGGGAGGGGTCCTGGGCAAGGAGAGGTGTTGTAGACAAAACAAAGTCCAATAAGAAGAATAAGTCCATGGGCAGATGTGGTTAGTTATTTATTCTCTTTCCTGTTTGTTAACAAACACACAGCTTTCTTTCCAGGATGGATATGTCTGGTCTGGAGGGCAGGTCTCACCTCTCTCTCCCTTTTCTCTCTTCCCCTTGGTGTGAAGACACCAGAGGAGCAGATCACCCCAACCAGGAGCCGGTCGAGGAAGGAGAAAGCTGTGGGCAGCCGGGAGGCTGCGAGGGAGAAGCGGAGCTCTGGCCGGGGCAGGAGAGGTCTCCAGGGACCGGGCACAGGAGCACCCACACATTCCCCCGAGGCGCACCAAAGTGACATGGACACGGTCCCATCCCCAGAGAGATTGGTCAGGTGAGCAGTGAGGGAGGAGGCGATCCCTCTACTTCACAGCTATCTTGCCAAAGAAGGTCCATTGTCCCCAGCTCCACAGGGACCCTCTGCCAGTGCCTCCATGGGATTGCAAGTCCACGATCCTCCTCCTTGTCTCATTTGCTCGTTAGCAATGTCTGAAGCCTCTTCATTAATTGCCAGGCTGAGCAGCTGCCGCTGGATAGTGCCTGCCCATGGTGAGGTGGAACTGAAGGTCCACTTCAGCTCCACGGTGCTGGGCCAGTTTGATCAGACGCTGCATTTTGAGATCCTGGGGACAAACCGACTGTACCAGCTGCATTGCAGGGGCACCTGCCTGTATCCCACCATCAGCCAGGACCCACGGTAAGGCTGGCCTGTGGGAGCTTCCCATAGTGCTCCCTCCTGAACTCAGAGCCAGGGCTGTCCCTTGTACCCCAGTGACCTTCTGCCTTGGGCAGAGCGTGCTGCCTGATCAGCTCAGCATCTTCCCATGCTTGGAGCTGAGAACCAGTAGTAGTACCTCAGCTACCAATAAGGGTTATGGTTTTCTGACTAGGTTTTCTATTTAGAGCATCTCACAGCTCCTCATTCCCCATTTTCTTTGCCCAGGCTGGTGTTTCCTCACTGGAGGAGGAGCAAGGCAGATGATGACATCATCTTCAAGCAGTATGTCATGAACACGGGTGTCTTCCACTTTGGACCGCTGCTGTGTGGGAAGTCAAGAGAATGGTACGTGCTCCACACCCCGAGTGAGCATCCTGATGCGCTGCCTGCGTGGTGTGAGATGTTGGGATGATATCTTCAGGGCTTTGTTCTTTCATGGACGTGCTTGGAGACATGCTGTCCCAGTGGCACAACTCAGAGCAGGCCCAGGCAGAGACCTGGGAGATACATGGGGTTGAAGGACCACGGATGTGTGAACTTGAGCAGATAACAGGCATGTGAGTCTTGGAGGAGCTGGGGAGCTGATCTTCCTACATGGTGGGTGCCTCGGTGGCCAGAGCCATGTGCTGCTTCCAGCCTGAAGGTGACTTGGGGCAACTTGTGTCCCCCCTCCACATCTCAGCTTCACCACCTATGAAATGAACTTTATGGTGCTTTTTTGAAGTGCTTTTTGCTCTATGGGTAGACTGAACGAGCAATTATTCTGCTGGTGGTTTTGTAAACCATTCATTAATCTGTAATGTTAGTAAGACTTTATGAATTGACATGCCGATATGTGTGTGGGGGGGGTGGAACCTGCAGAGGAATGAAAATGGGAATTACATTTTCCTGATCCTCACTGCTGGATAAAGTCTCACTAAAAAAGTTGTCATTTTAGCTGCTGGCAAATTTCTATTTTTAACATTGCTCTTTCTTTTTTTAATATTAGAAATGGAGTTCTTGTCTTCATGGGAGCTCTGGAGAGCTAGTGGTATTTTGACAACTGAAGGAAATTAAATCAAAACAGTTTAAAAAACAAAAGAGGATCTTTAGCCAGGCTGATGAACCATCTTGGGTTTCTCTTTGCTTTTTTAAGCCCATTAACTCCAAATTCTGTTCCACACCTGAGAGAAGGGACATTTGTTTAATTTAGCATTCCTCTTGGGAATGAATCCTTCCTATTTCCTTGCTTCAGACTTTGAGCTAACCCATGAAATACAAGGCAGTCTGATGACTTCTTTGAAAGAGATAAGCTAAACTATTTTTAAAACCTCTTTTCAAAAGCATTTCTTTATACTCTACAGGGAAGGGTATAACAAAGAAGGGGGAAGAACCCATGTGCCTGCCATACTCTTATTTTTCCAGGAGCCTTTGAATGTATATTTTGTAAAATGCTTTTTAAATGGCCTGTGCATCATCACGCTTCTGGGATGGAGGCACCGAGTATAGGGGCGGACATCAAAGTAACGCAAGGATGAACGCACATACCATGTGATGTGCCCCTGAAAGTGATCCTTGTTCTTAGCCTGCTTGTTAGACCATGGTCTTCCAGTGCAGCCTCCCGCTGTTGGGACACGGTGCTTTCCTCGATGCATGATAAAGGCAACTGTCTCCTCTGCAGCCTTTTCTCCTTTTGTGGGCAGGTACAAGGCGCTGCACTATCCCAGCAACTGCGAGAAGATAACCATCCTCAACGTCACCCCCTTGGAAACAGAGGTGCGTTTCTTCTTTGAGCGCGATCTCAAAGCAGACACGTTCCTTTTAGACCCTCCCAGCATGAGGCTGAAACCCCACGAGAAAAAGGTAGGAGACGGGCTGGTAGGGCAGGCAGTGGTAGAAGTTCTCAGGAGCTGTTCCTCCTCTGCACTGAATGCTCTTCTGTATTTCTTTCTGTGGGGATGGGGCTAGGAGCTGAGCATTTGGGCATACCCCACTTCAGCTGGCCTCATGGAAGACAACCTCATCTGCTGCATTAAGGAGAACCCGGAGCCAGTGGTCTTCCGCCTGTGTTGCCAGGGGGTGCAGGTGGAGCTGGGGGTCAGCCCCAAGCAGGTGCATTTCAACAAGCTGCTTCTGCACAGGTCAGTCATACCCCAGCTGCTCTGCTGGGGACGAGAGCTGTCAGTGAGCTCCCCTTCAGCTTCTCTTGCTGGCTGTGTAGCCACTCAGATTGCAGGCTGGGCTAACATCTCCTTCACCAAGCAGTTCCCAGTCTCTTGCTCGCCACTTTTTGCTGGCTTGGCTGCACCATGGCAGCCACAAGCTCTGTAGCCTCCCAGCAATACCATGCAATGGGCATCCTGATGCATTTGTGTCTTGTCTGCTGGTTCAGAGAGCAGTCCAGTTGCTCCTCCTTATCTCTCTTCTGCTGGATACGCTTTTAGCATCCAGGTCTCCCCCAGGACCTCACCTCTGAGACTTGTGACAAAGAGGAAGCATTTAACTGTGGCTTCAGATGCATGGATAGGGCTGCTCCAAGTTGTGTTCAATTGCAAGGCCAGCATGACAGTCAAGCAGCCAGTGCTGAGTGTCTTCCTGTCTCTGCAGGAGGGACAGCAAGACCCTGGTCCTGCGAAACTGCACCCTACTGCCTGTGGCTTGGCGGCTCAGTGGGCTGGAAAACCTCGGCGAGGACTTCTCCGTGTCGCAAGATGAGGGCATCGTTGGTCCCCGCACAGAGTTTGGCGTGTATCTACATTTCAAGGCCACAAAGGCTCTCAGCATTAAGAAGACAATCCGACTGGAGGTGAGAGGGACTGCCCTCCCTGGTAGAGCAGGGCAGAGTGATCAGCCCTGTGCTCTTAGGGCTGGAGACTGTGCTTGAAGGGTGCCCTGTGAAGAGGGCAAAAGGATGAGCCTTCATGAGATTCCTTTCTACCTGCATTGCCAGGGGTCCAGGCCCTTAGCAGCAAGCGACTCTCACTGAAGGATAATGTTCTGGAAATTAAGTGACTACTAGGGGGCTCTTGTAGCTGAGCTTCATGGGGCAAGTATGCTGTGGAGTCAGGAAGAGATGCACCTGATGGACACAAGGGTGCTATGACCTCAACTTCTGCTGCCTCAAACTGGCTTCGCCAGACCACATGGTGTGTCCCTGAGCATCCACATCACCACAGATAACCAGGCGCTACATCCTGAGCCCATACTACAACCACCTTGCTGCTGTGCAGGGTTGAATGCTGTTGTTTGCTTGTCCAGACCACAGCGTGCTCCCTGCACCCACCCTGGAGTTTGTCTGGGGCTCTTAGCATAGAGCAACAAACTCTTGCCCTGGCATTTTGTTCCCCATGGTTTAGGGGCTGTGTTTCAGTGAGGATGCTGGGTGATTGAAGAGGAGAGGGTTGCTTGTCAGTGCCGCCTGCTCTGGGACACCTCACATTTTCTTCTGGTTGTTTTTATATTGCTGCGCCTCCCAGGGTGCTTTAGCAGCAGCTGTAGGAGTGCAGAGTTGGGCTGACAGGGTTTCTTACTGTAGCAGACTCCTTGCTGGGTCAGCCTGTGAGATGAACAAGTTAAGAAAGCTTGGGAGTCCACAAATGCTTGTCAAGCAGGGGAGACCATGGTGGAAGCAGCTGCCAGATACAAGGACTCGTATGCTGTCTACCAAAAGAATTTAGGAGAATGCTCTAAGCGGCGTTTGTTTCTTGCTGCCTCAGGTTTCAGATGCAGAAAACGTCCTGGGGATTGTTCAGATTGAGAATATCCAAATCCTGGCAGAGGCCTATGACGTTGCTCTGAGCATCAGCATTTCTAAAGGTCAGTGGATGCCCCCAAAACAAAGCGGTCCAGGTGCATTGCATTGCCTTGGCAGGTGGGCAACCAAAGCACTCGGGACAGGATGGGATAGCGTGCCAGTATGGCATGGATACGTAAAGCATGTATCCTGCAAGCTGCATGGAGTAAAGCACTGTCAGGGCACAGGCAGCCTTGAGTCTCTCGCCTCTGAACTTTGATGTGTGCAACTTCACATGCAGGTTGGTTTGAGGGCTTTGAAACAACAGTGGTGTGAGCAAGCAGTTGGCAACTCCTGAAGGCTCAGCACGGCACATGAAGTTGTTGGATCTGTGCTTTGAAGCAAGGAGACGGAAACTGAGCTCCTTAGCTGCTAAACCCGGCAGATATTTTCAGAGTAAGAAGAGAAGGGGTAGCAAAGTAACTAGAGAAAACTTCCAAGAATGGAAACTTGCCGAGAAGGGTTTTGTGCTGCCTGAAAACTCCAAATATGTATCTTGTCGCTTGGTGTAGTCTGCAACGGCTCACAAATGTTGACCATTTCTTACCTCGCTCTGCGGGTTTTCTGCAGGTACAGATGGCAGCGTGGATTTTGGAATCCTTAAGGTCCTGGATGATGCAAAGCAAGTGCTTACCCTGAAGAACAAAGGGAAGTACGAGATTGCATACAGGTGGGTCCAGCTGCCTGGTCTGTGAATGCATGGTGCCAGCATCTGCCCAGGCCTGCGTTCTCCTTCTGTCCACGGCTAGAATCTCTTCCCATGCTGGCTACCTCTTGATCTGGGTAAATAGAAAACCTGGGCTCTCTAATAAAAAATACTTTTAATAGAGAATCCAGCCACACACCAGCAGTTCTTCACAGCTCAGCAGGAACCAGGAGAGACCCTGAAATTTAAGCCGCTCACTGCTGAGATTCATTGCCTTCCTTTAAGGGTCAGCTCATTTCTCTTTGAGACTCTTTAAAGGAGGGAATGAAAAAATTCAGTGTTGAGGTTAACCTGCAGCACTCGTGATTGTCTGCACTCTGTGTCAAGATCTGGGATTCCCCAAGCAGAGATGGACTCTTTCCCTTTTATATTTTTTTATGGTCCTACGCAAAGTCCCAGCTGTACTGGTGGCACCTGTACTTTTAACTGCAGAGGTCTTTGTTCCTTCCCTTTCTCCCCAGTTTCAAGCTGGAAACCACAGATGCCAACATACCCGACTTGGCATCCCACTTCACTATCCAGCCACAGAAGGGCATGCTGACTGTCTCTGAGCGCCCTGTGCAGGTCCAGCTGCTCTTCCACCCCAAGATGGAAATGAATATTGAGGACAAACCCATCCTGCGCTGCCAGGTGAGCTGCCCGGGCTGGGTGGTGTTAGCACACCATGTCTTGGGAGCGTAAGCAGGACATGTCTTCTGGAAGAAAGGCTTTAGCTGGGGAATCCTCTCTCATACATATACAACAAGGTCTTTCAGAAACCATTTGTGGTGCTTCCAAAGCGGAGCTGAAAATCTGGCTCTGGAGAAGGCGTTTAAACAGGGACAGTGAGCTGATGGGGACTTTGGGTGGGGTCAGGGGACAGGGATAGACTGGCCTCTGCTGTGTTTACCAACGCTTCCTCTGGTTGCAGGTGATTGAGCCCAGCATCTGTGAAGGAGGCGAGACCATCGCCATCATCCCAGTGAGGGTGTCAGCAAAAGCTGTATTCAGCAAGTACAGCATTTATCCTGCCTCGCTCATCAACTTTGGTGCCATGATGAACGGCACCAGGAAGACTCGCGCCTTCACACTGGAGAACAAAGGCATCCTTGACTTTAAATTCCTCATCTACAGAGCAGACCAGGATGCACCTGTGTTGCCAAGAAAAAGGTGAGAGAAGACCTGCACCACCCTTTCTGCCTGAGGAGGCACCACAGCATGGCTGGTGTGTGACAGACAGCCAGGACACTGGGGTTACTGTCCTTCTGCATCACTGGCTTGTGAACAGGGAGCAGAAGAATGCCTCAGTGTCCCCACGTGTAGGGCAAAGCTGGTGATATAGCTGATCTATCTGTAAGCTACAGCAATAGGAGGTGCAGGCAGCCCTCTGGGAGCAGGAGGACTTTCCTCCATGGGGAGGAAGGCCAGCTCTGGCCTCAGAGAAAGGCAAGGGGGAGCTCAGCATGATGGGTGTTTCTGCTTTGTCCTCTCAGTGCACATCAAATGAAATCCGCCGGGTCCCATGAGAGTGAAAACTTAAGCAAAATGACTCCTTCAGTCAAGCAAAGCAAGCACTCGCTGCAAAAGGACACAAACCCCTTCATGCAGGTGGGTGGCTCCTGCTCCCCAGTACATGCCACTGCAGGTGGTATGGGAGGATGCTGCTGTGCCCAGGCTGGGGGCTCGTCACCACAGGATGGGAAATGGTCTGCATGATGGAGGTCCATCATCTCCCAGCCACAAGCAGGGGCAGGAGCTGCTCAGTCCCACTGACAGTCCCATGCTCTGGCTCAGACCTGGAGTTGTGGGGTCAAGAGAGGGGAGCAGGTCCTGTGTTTGGTAGGTGCTAGCCAAAATAGGTCTATGCAGAATATCCCTGTTTGAACTCCCAGTCCATAGATATCAGATGACCTTGCTTTTTCTTCTTCTCAGTCCCCTCTCTCCTCTCCCATTTTTTCTCACAGTTATTCCTGCTCTCCTGTTTTAGCCCTGGAGGTTGAAGGATGCCAGCTATCACCTTCACCCTTTACACCCAAACTCCTTTCTCTGTGCCACTCAGGACAGGCCTACAGCACCTCCTACCTTCTTCATCTCATCCTGGGGCTGCCTTTGGGCCATGGGGTCATCTGTCCCAGCCCTGGGACTAGTGGCTTGGGCCCAGCTGGAGGCCAAGGAGTGGCATACTCCTTGCTGGGGGTGGTCAAGGTAAGGCTGTTAGACATCAGTCTCTCCTGGGACTCTTTCTGCAGGCTCGCTTCACTCTAGGCATGTTCACGGTGTACCCTGGCTTTGGCTCCATCCCTCCTGGGGGCCAGCAGATGATCATAGTGGATTGCTACGCAGAGCTTCTAGGGACATGCAAGGAGCACCTGTGCATCGATATCAGTGACAGAGACCCCAAGGACAATCCCCTTGGCATCCCCTATACCCTGTTTGCTGAGTCCTGCCTCCCAGGTACGCCCTGTCCACAGGTTCCCATGGCCAGACCTGCTTCTGAGCAGCACCTAAACTTACTGCTTGGATAGAGTGGCCCCCATCCTCAGAGGTTTCAGTCCTTTTCAAGTCTGCCAATGGGGAGAGGCTGGGAGGGATGCATGGAAGGATAAAAGGAAAGCAATACCCTTTAAGACTGAGGGTGACTGAGCTCCATCCTCACAGCCAACTCCCCCACCCAAGGTTGGGTTTTGCAGTGACCTGGGCAGAAAGGGCTTATCAAGCCTTCTGAGAGGCCAACAGGGTCCAGATAAATTCAGCAGGAAGGCTTCTCCACCCTCAGCCCTTCCTCTGGTCTGCTCGCAGCATTTGTGGTTGATGACATAGAGTCCATCTTTGAAGAGCATCGAATCTGCAGCAACAGCAACCTCTGTCAGATCCTACAGACAGTGCAAGACAAGGGCATGTTCATCACAGATGAGAATAAGTTTATCTTCACCAATGTTCTGGTTGGGCACCGGGCCACAGCTCGCTTCAAGATCCGCAATGTGGCAAAAGTCCCCTGTGACGTGGTCCTTTCCATCAAACCCATCCCTGGTAAGGTAAGAACAAGAGACCAAAATGACTGTTGCTCTTTAAAGGCTGTGTGATACCCTGCCTTGTTCTCCAGATTCACTGCTTCCTCTTGCCCAGACTAGTCCAGCTCAGTGCAGGTCAAACTACAGGGGAGAACAGCAATGCCAGGGTGACAGTTGGATTGAATTCAGCATGTCTCTCAAGCAAGGTTTTGGCTCACCCCTCTGGGGTCTTTGGTGGGAGACCTGTACCCTTCTGAATGTCTCTTGGAAGCACGCTCAGCAGGGAGGGGGCGGCTTGGCTTTTACTGGACTGAGGTGCCAGTGTTCAAAGCAGACCATTTTCTCAGGCTCCCTGGTCTCTTCCTTCTCTTTAAACTCCAATTCTAGGTTATTTGCAGAGTTTTCAATGTAGTCCCCACCTCCCATGTATGCTGGCATGGCTGCCTAGTGCTCAAAGCAAGCTTTTGTACTCCTGGGCTTTATGGCAGCTCTCTGTGTGAGGTCATCTTACCTCCTGACGTGGAAGGAGCCCGTCCAGGGAAGCAGAAAGGAAGACATGCTGTCTGGGACTATTCCCCGTGATGCATATATGAATAAGACTGCATCATGTTGAAGGGTGTTTCCTCCTAACACCACTCTGTGGGTTCCCCCAAGCTTAACAGCCGCATTAGCGACATTTTCGAGGTGGATCCCGTTCGAATGTGTGTGCCCAGCCGCTCCCACGCCTTTGTTACGGTGACCTTCACTCCGCAAACGATGCAGAACTACCAGTGCACTTTTGAGGCTTCCCTTGATGTCCAGGCAAGGTAACTCACCCTGTGAAATCTAGGTGGGGCGTGGGGGGACCTTTCTGATAGCTGCCTCTCTTCTGGGAGGACGCAGACCTCTTGGTAACCCTAATGCTTTTGGTAGCCTTAGGTAGAGTACTTCACATTAGATAATATAGGAGGCAGTAACTACTAGCCATAGCAGAGCAGAAAAATAAGGGTCATAGTTTAGCCTATATGAGTGACTATGAGGATGGTGCAGCACTAGGTAGCCAACTGGAAGTTATTGAATCAGAAAAAAATGGAGATGTGCAACAGCTGAGCTGGGGCTTTCCAAGAACAAAGGATTAGATGAAGCGGTTTCTGTGCCAGAAAGTCAGCATGCATTATTTCCTTCTTGTTTACGTTAAAATGAGATGATCCTATGTGATCACCTGCAGTATGTTAAGATATTTTATGTTAAAGGAACGACTGGATGCCTTATAATAGAGGAGCCCGGTTTCTCTGTCCTGGGACCTGTGTCCGGGGCTCTAACCTGCTCTTCCCCGCCTCTTTGTCCTGAATTGGGACAAGATAAGTCACCTTTCTGCCCTAATAAGCAGTTCCTGTTTAAGTGTCCTTGAAATAATCTTTACTGATGGTGTTACTTATTTACTTCTCCCTTCTTGCTTTTATACTATTTTCATGCTGTGCTTGTGCTTTTTGCATATGTTTCCTATCGCCTCAGCCAGTGAATTTGCCATGGTCTCATTTGTTGCCTCATCATTTACCTGCTGTACTGCATGATTCAATTAAATGAAATAATTTTTGTTATCCTGGAAGGCTCTGGCTCTTCAGAGCAGATTCCTCTTGTGAATGGCCCTAATTGGACTGGGAGAAGAGGGATGAGGGGGAGCTGTCTCATGGGGTTACAGGAGCACCAGCCAGGCAAAACGCAGCGGGTGGCACTCATTTCAGTGCTTCCCAAGTGGGGAATGGGTTAATGCCAGCCGTAATGATTTCTCCTCTGCCTCTCCTGCAGCCCTGCAGCAATTAAAGCACAAAGCCTGACCTTCGATATCAGTGGAGATGGGAATCTGCCTCGGGTGACAGTCCTGCGCCCGGTCCTTCACAATAAGAGAGGGAACCCTCTGCTGCTCTTCAAGAAGCTGTTGCTGGGTGATTCAGAAAAACTCCCTCTGGTCCTTCATAACACTGGTGTCATACCTGTCCAGGTGAGGACCTGCTCAGGGAATGCTCTGGTCTGGAAACAAGTCCTTGTGCCATGGAGGAAAGGTGCCAGAAAACATGGTAGAGATGTACCGCTACTCTGTGCATGCAATTGAACACCAAATGAAACCCTTTCCCCATGCTCAGAGCCACTCCATTGCAGGAGAACAACTCCTCTGACTTTCTGGAAGATGCTTTGGCAAACCAGTAGGAAGAGTCTCATTTCTCAGCCAGATCCCTCTAGGAAGGTTCCATCAGCCCTTCACGTTTCTCTCCGTCTCCTTTGCAACCACTGCTGCGGTCTTCACTAGTCTCAGAAATTCTTTTTAAGCAAATGACTGACTTCTACTTTCCAGGAAGGGTGTTCCTCTTGGAGATGTGATTTTTTTTGACCAGCCTATACTTTTCAGTTAAATGCAAAACAAGAAAGTCAGTGGGGTATTTTTCCCCCTGTCTCTCTTCTCATGTTTTGGTTCTCACGTGGGCATGTTTGATGTCCTAGTTAAGTTAGATTGTATTTGATCACATTTTACTACATTTTAATTAAACTCAGTGAGCAGAAGGTAATTAAACTACAACTACCTTTAGTACTTTCTGTCCTGTTTGGTTATATTTTAATTATACCCCAATGTCTTTGAATGCTTTTTTTTCTGTCTGATTTCACTTAAACCTTGTGCTAAGAGCTGCGTTTGAAGCAGGGAAGTGTGCTGGGTTCCCCATGCCGGACCAGCAGTGGTACGGTGTCAATCCACCTGCCATCCTGTACCTACACCAGTGTGGTTATGTTCTGTATTCTCTTTTCTCAGTTGATGATAGACCTGTTGGATGAAGGGGGAGTTTTCTTCTTGAAAGCCAGGCCCACCACACACTGCATCTACCAAGCTGCGGGCATGGAGGAGGACTCTCCTGGAGAAGGTACAATCATTAACCACGAAGTGTGGTCATCCACACAGGGAAAATGTGCCCTGCTCTTGGCTTGGCCAAGCAGCAGCCAGATGTTAGACATAGTTTCTTTCCTGAGGTGCTCTGTATCCCTAGTTCTGCACGTGGACTCTTTGCAGGGTTTCCTCCTAGGAAGTTGTACGAAGTTTTTTCTGTTCTTTTGGACATGGTGGGTTGAGTTGTGGGGGACTATCACCATTTTAGTGGACCGTCTGAGGTCTTTGCTGCATGTGGAAAGTTACCAGCCTGAACAGAGGCAGCCCTTGAGCCCACAGCCAGCCAACAAAAGCTAAAACCGCTCTTTGACTCAGCTTTACATATGGCAGGAGCTGGCTGGATGCAGTGTGAGTGAGAGCTGGGCGTTAACCTGAGTTTAAGATCCTTAAGCAGTGATATGCATCGTGGTGCCATAGTCTTGTGAACCTGGGAGGAGGGCCTGGAACCATTGGCAGGAGAACCTGTGCTTAGAGGCACCTGGGTTTCAACCTCTTATTCCTCTTACACCCCATGGAAATATTTTCTCCGTACGGCCGTATAACTCATCTGATTTCCATTGCTGTGCAGAGAGGAAGCCTCACACTGCTTCCCTGGTCCTGCATCATGGGGAATTAGCAGAGTTTGACGTGCTTTTCAAACCCACCCTGGCCCAACGTCTGGAAGGGAAGATCCACTTGTCAGTGGTGGACAACCCATATGAAGAGACCAACATTCAGCTGGTGGGCGAAGGCTACGAGGATGACTTCACACTAGAAAACATCCATGGACTAGTGGCAGACAGCAAGGAGAACACTGAGGGCTATATGGAGGAGGACATAATTGAGGGTAAGAGAGGAGAGTGATTAAGACCATGTATGATAATTGGTGTCCTCTATATAACCAGGCCTGAGCTACCGCCCACCGGACCTGGTGGTCTGTAAGCATGCCAGCCATGTGCACAGAGGCAGCATGTGCTGTACTGCCTGTCTCTCTGCACCGACACAGCCACATGTATGGGGACGTGTCAGGGTGTTTCCCTGAAAGTGGTGGGGTGGGGAACTGCATGTCTCAGAGGGAGGAAGGCTTGGAGCAAGGAAGAGTTGGACATCTATGTGTCTGTGCATGTGAGGGTGGCGGATGGACCTCACTGCACGCTGAGATCTCTTGCTCTCATTCTTAACAGCTGCCAGAGTGGATCACATCCAGTTCGGGGACTGTCACATTGGGACACCCTACACCGTGACCTTCACGATCACCAATCGCAACAGGGTGGAGTCGATGCGGTTTGAGTGGCTGGCAGGCACTCCATTTCACTTCTCCCCCCAGGTGAGCTTGGATGGTTCTGCCTTTCCCCGCTGCTCAAGCCCTGCCTGGCAGGTTCCTGGGGGCTAGCAGGGAGTCACCACGCACCGGTGAGAGCCCGTTTCAGTGCCACGTAGGAGATGCAAGCCCTGGTTTTGCTGGGGCAGGGCTGTCAGCCCTGCAGAAAAGGCTCTGTGTTATGGGAGATGGCATCTTTTGTTTGTACTTTTCTCTATCAAACCTCAGATAAATACACAGTAAGATGCAGATTCCTAGCACAGCTGCTCACCACATCAATCCCTTTGCTGTCAGTCCTGCCCTTGCTGGTGATTCCAGTTTGGTCTCGGCTCTCTGGTTCTCCGTAGGTGGGACATCTCCATGCTGGCTGTGCTAAGGACATCACAGTGACCTTGAAATCAGATGTCGTGGTTGCCTTCAAAATGCACCTTGTGAAGTGTAAAGTGGCTAGGATCGCCTTCCAGCTGCCGCCAGAGCAGGTTACCGACTGGGACGACCGCCTGCGCACCGTGAAGTGGGTGGATGCCACGAGGGGCCCGGCAGCCACGTGGCCTGTCAAGAAGAAGGTAAGAAGCACAACAGCAAAAGCTGACTGAGCTTACACAAAAAGAGCTGCTGACGGCAGCAGACTGCCATCTCTGCTGGCTAGGCAGCTCCTACTTTCTCCTGACATTTAATCCATCTGTGAGGGTAAGCAGCAGTGCATTTTTAGGGAAGTGGGTGCGCGGTGACCTGATATGCTCACACAAGATGGGGGAGTCTTTTGACAAGAGGCGTTGAGCCACATGCAAATGATCGGTCTCTGCCAAAAGCGGAAGTGTTGCAGCCTGTCTTGAATGGGAGGTCATGTTTTATGATAACATATTTTATGGTATTAAAATCTCATTATCTGCTTCAGTGCCTTTTCACCAACAAGGAGTTAAATCCACTGTGCTCTGTCTCTTGTTTTGAAGTGGAGAGCAACACTAGTGCTCTTCTACGTGTGCCGGCTAGCCCACCAGCACGTTGTGGGTGAGCTCTGAGCTCTGTCTACACTGATAGCAGAGATTTTGGTTGTGGTCTCTATATCGTGTGGGATATCTCATTGTGGAGCAGCCCAGGTACTGTATGGCAGTCACGCAGGAGTCCAGAGAAGTATCACCTCCAGAAACTCTTGCTTTTACTATCATCGTTGCCAAACACACTTATCTTGGGCGATGGTTCTTCCCTAGTTTCTGAACCATTGTAAGACCTGTAGACCAAACTTCTTCCCCATCAGAGCATCAGCAGTCAGAGACTTTCCTAGTGAGTTCATTCCTATGCCAAAATGCCTGTCCCCAACCCCCACCAGTGTGGCTGTTGCCCCACACGAGACATCTGGAAAGCACTTTCTCCTGAGACAAGAAGGAAAAGGTGCTTTCTAGGTTTGTTCATTCTTGGGTTTCTCCATCCACAGAGCTCCAGCAGGGGAGCTTAATCCTAATTTAGAGGCCTCCTGGATTTATAGGTGGCCAGGAAAAAGGTCAGATGCTCTACAGGGTTGAAACACAAGGATGGATACACAGTTACAGTCCCCATGGGTGTATTCACAGTTGAGGTGATGATTGCTTTGCTCAGTAGGTAGAAACAAATACTGTAGTAGAAGGGTCAAATTTTGTCATCTTTCCAGGGAAATAAATGGGAATGGTTCTTCCTAGCCCCTATAACAAGGCTGATTTTGGAGGCCAAAAGGCTCCCTGCTCAGCCTGGCTTTCTGGGCTCTGCTCAGCAATTCTTCCCTTTCCTGTTTGGAGGTGATTGAGACAGACCCTGAACCAGCTCACACTGTCTTGGAGAAGAGCAGCCGCGAAGTGGAGCTTCGCCTCAGTGCTGTCGTTGACTACGCCGAGTTCAAGCTGGATACAGACATGATTCAGTTCAAGGAGACCTTGCTCTTCCAGACAAGGATGTTCACGTGAGTGCTGGAGGCCAGGCAGGCACCTCTAAGTGGGAGCTGCCTTTGCCCGGGGCTGACCCTGTGTCTGCTTCCCCAGAGCCGCACTGTGCTCTGTGGTCGCCTCTGCTTTTCCTTCTACTCATGGTCCCGTGCCAACAAAGGTTACACTGACATGTTTATTGCTCAGTCACTGAATAAACCTCTTCTAATTTCTAACAGGCTAATCACTGACTAATCACTAATTGAAGGGGGGTGCTGCTGCCTGCTAAGTCTGAGGTTTCAGCTTCCACTCATAATCTGGCACATCCCAGGGCCTTGGAGTTCTCTCACATGTGGACTTGAGTCCCTTCTAGGGCTTTACATTCAGTCTCACCTGCTGTTCATCCCTTTAAACAAATCATTTATTGTTTCATCCTTTCCAAGTCCTGGCTGGGTGCTGGGGCCCATATATCAGCACACAAAGCCAAGCAGGAGATGGTGGCTGCCATTCTGCCAAGACGTGCCAGGAGAGGTTCAATTCTGCTGTGCCTTTCTGCTGAGAACAGCTGTGGTTTTGCTTTCATTGCATGTTGCCTGTCCTCATCTGCTTGAGGACAAGTTTGCAGTCAAAATAATGTCAAACCAAGACATAAAGACCAGAATAAGACCCTTGGATTAAGTCTCCTGGGCACCATGTCTGTCCTTTCCTCTTTAACTTCCAAACTTTGAAATACTTGGTCTTGGGGCAGCCCAGGGCAGCAGTCTAGATGTGGCAGAGTTGCCTGGGGAAGAAGATGCTACTCAGCGGAAAGAAAGGGGTACCAGGAGCCCACCATACAGTGTTACTTTTTTACTTGCTTTGTATTTATTGGATGTTTTCTTTTTATTCTTCCTTCTTGTTTTTCAGTTTCCAGCTGTCCAATACAGGGAATGTGGCCCTGGAATACACCTGGATGGCAGCTGTGGAGGAGGAAAGGGCGGTGAGCCTTACTGGGGAGCTGCTCCCACCCAGTCTGGATGGTAAGGCACCGGCTCTGTGTGGCAACTGGGCATGCCCAGGGTGTTTCAGTTGGCAGCTGAAGTCTTGGGGAGAAGACCATGCCACTTCACCCCAAAACATGAATTGCATTTTCATCCCTATCCAGTCATCTACTTTCATCAGCATCTTCCCAGATGCAGATGGAGACTTTCTCCTTGCCCCCTCTCTGCTTTTCAGACCATTCTATGCTTGCTCTGACACTTGGGCTCTGCATGGAAGCTGAGCCTGGCTCAGCAGAGAGCCACGTAGTGGGTCAGGACTGGGAAGAGGGACATCAGGGCACCTCTTTGAGAAGTGTCTGAGACTGGGTGTGATGGGTTGACCCTGGCTGGATGCCAGGTGCCCACCAAAGCCATTCTATCACTCCCCCTCCTCAGCTGGACAGGGGAGAGAAAAATATAGCAAAGAGCTTGTGGGTCGAGATAAGGACAGGAGAGATCATTCACCAATTACTGTCATGGGCAAAACAGACTCAGTTTGGGGAAAATTAACTCAATTTATTACAAATCAACCAGAGTAAGGTAATGAGAAATAAAACCAAATCTCAGAACACCTTCCTTCCACCCCTCCCTTCTTCCCAGGCACAACTTCACTCCTGGATTTGTCTACGAAACCCCCCGAGCGGCACAGGGAGACGGGGATGGGGTTTACGGTCATCACACGTTATTTTCTGCCGCTTCATCCTCCTCAGGGGGAGGGCTCATCATACTCTTCCTCTGCTCCTCCAGCATGGGGTCCCACCCACGGGAGACAGTCCTCCATGAACTTCTCCAACGTGGGTCCTTCCCACAGGCTGCAGTTCTTCACGAACTGCTCCAGCATGGGTCCTTTCCACGGTGTGCAGTCCTTCAGGAGCACACTGCTCCAGCGTGGGTCCCCCACAGGGTCACAAGTCCTGCCAGAAAACCTGCTCCGTGGGCTCCTCTCTCCACAGATCCGCAGGTCCTGCCAGGAGCCTGCTCCAGTGCGGGGTTCCCACGGAGTCACAGCCTCTTTCGGGAACCCACCTGCTCCAGTGTGGGGTCCTCCATGGGCTGCAGGTGGATATCTGCTCCACCGTGGACCTCCTTGGGCTGCAGGGGGACAGCCTGCCTCACCATGGTCTTCACCACGGGCTGCAGGGGAATCTCTGCTCCGGCGCCTGGAGCATCTCCTCCCCCTCCTTCTTTACTGACCTTGGTGTCTGCAGGGTTGTTTCTCTTACATGTTCTCACTCCTCTCTCCGGCAGCTGTTTCTCTCCATCCCAACCTTTTTCCTTCTTAAAAATGTTATCGCAGAGGCGTTACCACTATCGCTGATTGGCTCGGCCTTGGCCGGCAGCGGATCCGTCTCAGAGCCGGCTGGTATGGGCTCTCTCGAACACAGGGGAAGCTTCCAGCAGCTTCTTATAGAATCCACCCCTGTAACCTCCCCCGCTACCAAAACCTTGCCACACAAAACCAATACACTGGGAAAATTGACGGTGTAACAAGGAGTTACCTGACCTGCAGTCACTGTCTGTGTGCAGTTCCCCAGTCCAGGGCAAATGCAAAGTCACTGTCTAAAACTAACCTTCCTGACTTGGGCACTGGAGTGTTTGCTGCAGGTGGAGACCCTGCTCACAGCAGCTATCAGAGCTCAACAGCAGGGCTGTGACTCATTAACCTGCAGTAATGTGGTTGTGTCTGCGTGCTCTCCTTGCGAGCAGCATGGTTCTGCAGGGAAACAGAGCCGTGTGTCCAAGAGGTCTTATCAGGAAATGGAGTGAAGAGAGCTGTCAAACCTTGTGTTTCCTAGCACAGGGAATTTGTCTGATGATCAAGATGGGAGACCTCAACCAGAGTCCTTGATGCTCTGAATGTGCTTCTCTCCCTCCCCTGTGGGTCCTGGTGTTGGCTCTTCCCTGGCACAGGGTACACTTGTGCTGAAGCAGGTCTTCTGGGCTGTGCCATTAGCTGTCTGGTTGTTGGTTATGAAAGTCTGACAAAGAGGAAGGAAGGAAAGGGTGTGAAGGACAGAGCAGCGCTGTTCCCCAAAGCCTTCTTTCTACCACAGACAACAAGCAAAATTCAGTTCTGCAGGCCACAGGGGAGCAGGACTTAACACTGTCCTTAATGCTAAGTGCTGAGGCTGGCTGTACTGGGATGTGAAACAGCACCCAGAAATTTTCCCAGATGCTGTAACAGACATCTCTACTGTTAGTTTCTGGGCATGGTTTAGGAATGAACGCTGGCCAGAAACCGTTCTGCAGGAAAAGTTTGCATCTAGCTTCTGAGTCCTAGAGATAGAGAGAGTTTTAACAGCATGGAGTGAAGCAGCTGGGTTCAGTCCTGGGTCCATTTAATTTGCTAACATAGATATAGCCTTCATGTCCATCGTCTGAGTATTTTTACAGCGTGATGTTCAGTGGTGTGTTTTGATTCAGGCAGTTCTCTGGGTCTCTGCTGGGCCTTTTCACTGTATTTGCTGCCCCCCCATCCTGTTCTTCTTCGTGTCTGTTCTCACTTTCACACCTGTCCCCAGGACTTTCTGGGATTATGATTTAGCAAGCAGTAGCACAGAAGCAAAAAGCAAACTGGCTGCTCTCCCTGTTCTTCATTGGGAGTTCTCCTGCTGAAAGTACTTGGCTAGAGATGCTCCCAGTGTATCCCAGCTCCCTTCTGTCCGTCTGCAGCAGCAGGCAGAGTTGCTGGGAACAAAGGGCTTTCTCCTTGAAGGACATCCTGCTATTATTTCTTCCTTACCACAGGAGATTTCCTCTCCTCCACTTCTGGTGCCTCTGTGAAGCTCCAGGCCAGCCGTTGTTCGAGCCAGCTGGGCCACACTCTGGAGCAGGTCTCTTCCTCCCTGAGCTCGTCTCTGAATGCAGTCAGTGCCAGCCCGCTGTTCTCTGTCGAGCCCTGCAGTGGTTCCATCCCTGCTGGCAAGGAGCAGCTCTTCCAGATGAAGTTCTCTCCAGTGTACGTGGGGGACTTTGAGAGCTGTATGCTCTGCAGGTAGGAAAATTCCAGGCACTTTTCAACTCGTGCTACTGATGGATAGTCGTGGTATTGCCTCTGATTGGGATGGGTGGGAGTGTGGACCTGGGGACAGCCAGCCCCAGAGAGGCAGCAGAAACAACCAACATACAGGAGCAAAGAAAGATGATCATCTGGCCTTGATAGAAGCAGGTATGGAGACACTAGGAAAAGACAGTGTATGAAACATTAAGCTCCTGGAGGGCTGCAAAATCTGGAACGAGAGAACTAGAGGAGCTGTCAAGGGGTCAGCCAGTCCCTACCTATGCTTCCTTATGAGAGAAGCACGGCCTCCTTATCTACATAGAAACCTGTGTGCTGCATTGGTCTCTAGGCATATAACTGTTCATATTTCTGCCATTTCAGCTCTGTTGCCTCTGTGGCAGGGAGGGCAATTCTGTTTGATTTGCTGCTCAATGCTTGCACAGAGAGAGTATGCAACACTGTGTGCTGTACAAGGAGACAGACAAGCAGCTGGCTGTCTGGAAACATTAGTCTGGCTAATACCACTCCCTTTCCTCCTAGTATTCCTAACCTGAAGCCAAATCAGAAGGGCCCAGAGGTGGTTGTGAAGGGGAGAAGCCTGATGCCAAACTGCCACTTTGAACTGGAAGACTCTGACTATATCACTGCAAAAAGGCGCAACCCAGAGTTGCAGGGACCAAAGGGGGTGACGTTGGATCTCAACACAAGAGTGATTGAGTTTGCGGCAATTGGAGTGTGTAGCAGGAACAGCAGGTAGGTGTGGGCACAGCTACTCCTGTTGATGGTCTCCTAATCCCCCCCCTTAACCAGAGACCTCTCCAGCTACTCCTCCAAGCCCCCAAGGCACATCTGTACCTTGTCTGTGATCTGCTGACACTTGGCCACCAGTCTATTTTGGTGCTGGAATAAGGTGCTCACTGAAAACTGCCCAATTTTGTGCTCTCCTTGTCCTTTTCTTCAAGAAGCGCAGCTAGTATGGGTCAGTCTGGGAGGACCACGTATCCCTAGCCTGTGCTTTGTGGCCAGTACAACCTTTGTCCCTTTGAAGAGCATCCTTGGGACATTCTCGCTCCTTTGAGATACCAGTCAGATAGGGTCAGTGAAGGCTGCGACCACAACAGGGAGTACCATCTTCCAAAGGAGTCTTACTGGACTTGATTTTACCATTTTCACTCAATCTTACCGTTTTAACATGCAAGAGTTCGGCTATATCCTTGCTAATTTCTTTGTCAGTAGCTGTTAATCTATAGACAACTGGGAGACAAACAGGGTCCCTAGAAAGCAGGTGAAATGTTTGTGCTGCCAGCATTGTTCCCCTATACCAAATAACTCCTCCTGGATGGTCTCCAGGACTGGCAGTGCCTGATGTCTGCTGCAGGACGGAGTCATTAACATCCTAACGCCACCTTAGTAGTCCTTTTTTGCTTTGTGTGCCCAGGACCTTCATGGTTATGAACCCAACCAGTTCTGCGTATTCTTTCCAGTGGACTTGCCAAGACCCTGAAGCCCCACCAGAAGAGGTGGCTTTCTTCTGCCTCACTGAGAGAGGTCAGATCCAGCCAGGGAAGAAAGCAGAGGTGAGTGCAGAAAACTAAGAAGGTAGAGCCAGTACACATGTATGTCAGTTTAACACCGGCTATGTCTATGCTTACTGAGCATCCCATCTCACTGTGAGCTCGCCAATATCATGAAGAAACCTTTGACTGCAGTGTAAATGAACCGGGAGATGAACCTGTTCTCACCCTGTACCCCACATCTGCCATGCTTTTGCGCTGTAAGTGGCACAGCAGCCTATCTCTGAGCTCACAGCAACATAAGGTGTTGGTTCCTGGGGTTTCTTGGTGGTATAGACTGCACTTCTCTCCCCTCACCTTGCCAAGGGCAGCAACTTTCTTTCATTTGCCTTTTTCTCCCCCAGATGAAATTTGAATTCATCCCCCGGCACCTGGACATCACAGAATCATTCTGGGTCTTTACAATCCCTGAGCAGAGTGTTTCAGTCCCATTCCTGTTGGTGGGCAATGCCACTGACCCGCTAGTAACTCTGGACAGATCCCACCTGAACTTCCAGTTGCTGTTAATCGGTGAGCACTGTGGTTATACCTTACACCCTCAGGTGTGGACTGCTCCAGGGGCCCAGCAGTCCTGTTGTTCCAGCAGGCTCCAACAAGGAAGCTGGAAATGGAAACAGGCATTTGTGAGCAGATCATTCAGCTCTTGGCACCCAAGTGTACAAGGAAGGCAGGCATGTGTCAGGGACATGGCATGTGCTTGGGGCTGTTTCCAAGAGGGGCTTTGGGAGTGATTCAGGGGAGCCTGGGGGCTCAGAAGTATGTTTCCATGTTGGCATCCTGAGCGTGTCATGCTGCAGGTAGTGCTCTTCACTGCAAACTGCCTGCTGGGCTCAGCTGGCAGGCAGAAGCACAGTGGGCAGCAGTGGTCTGGTGGCCAGAGGAACAAAAGGTTTTCAGCAGCTGTTTTGTCCTCTCCCCAGGGCATGAGGTACACCAGACTATCTATCTAATCAACAGTGAGAAGGAAGCCTTCAGCTTTGCTTTCAGAGAAAGCTCACTCTTCTCAGAGGGATGCAGTGCCTCTGTGAAAGTAGAACCCCTGCAAGGCTCCATCACTCCTCTTTCAAGGTAACAGGGCTCACAGGCCAGATTTCCTATCCTGCACGGCAAATATTGCACTAGCATTTTGCTTTTGGGGTTTTCTCCCCTTGGCAGTCACCAGGTGACTCTCAGTAATAGCATACATCTGCCTTGTTTCGTTCCTTCTCAACGGGGACACGATGAAACTGCTACTCTCGTCTTCTAGGATCCCTTCCTGGAGAAATTCAGGCCTTGGATCTTCTACTTTTGATGACAAAAGCATGTTTGGGGGTTTTAACCCTGTGATCCCCAGAGCCACCAACCTCAAGTGTGCAAGGTCTCGTCTCTTCCCCGTGTTCTTTTAGTGACAGAGCCCACCACACATGGCCTGTGCAAAGCTACCAAGAGCAGCAAAGCACACAAGCAGCATTGCAGCCTGTCATGGGGGATGGCAACAAGCTTATATGACTAGCCGTGTTTTGCAGGATCACCTGTCAGAAAACAGATAATCTTTTCTTGTAAACCACAGCTGTGACTTGCGATCAGACGTGATTATGAGTTCAAGCAGTCTAACAGGTCACTAACTCATCTGCTGATCCACCATGGATGTCCCTGTGCCCACTCATAGCCTGCCTTGGGTGTAAGGAGAACGCATTAGCTCTGGGCAGCTTTGCTGTGGCTTAAAAGATGCTGAATTTTGGTTTGCCACTGCGTGCAAGATGAGAGCACCCTGCATCAGCTACTGGGCACACTTGAGAAGTGGTAATTCTTTAAATCTCTGTAGTTTGGTTATGTTTGATCATGTACCCAAAAAATACATAGAAATTACCCACAGAAATTACAAGGCAGTTTGGTGGCACCCACGTTGTACTGCTGTCACGGGAGGACGTTATCCCTGTCATATAGATTGGAGAGATTAGGCATCTCTACGAGTGCCCTCCTTTGTGTTTGGGACAGAAGTGGGGCTTCAGCCCAGCGCTGCCCTGTAGCACATGGGCAGGGCAGTAAGGTAAGCATTAGCTCAGGGTTTGCTGCCTTGTTGTGGTATCCTCTGCTATTTCATTGCACGGGATCATCAGAGCCTAAACAGTGGTCTCCAGGGCTTGCTCCATAGTGGAAGGCCCTGGAAGGGCAGAGTGCTGTTCCTAGTTTCTCCCAGGCCTGGGGTCTCACCACAGCCATTGCAGAGCTGCTTTCCTGTAGAGCAGGCAATGTGAGGCCAAGAAAGTTAAGAGACAGTGAACAGAGCAAAAAGGGTCTTCTCTCCGCAGGTTTCCTGTTAGAGTCTTCTTCACACCAGCACTAGAAGGAGAGGCTGTCTTCAACCTCAAGTGTGATGTCAAGAGGAAGACCCAGCCCCTCTCCTTGAATATCAAGGCCACCGGCTATAGCATGAACGTGTCCGTCAGGTGTGAGGACGGTGATGGCTGTGTCACTGAGCTCAGTGCACAGGAGACCAATGTCATTGATTTCAAGGAGGTGAGCAGCACTGGTTCCCTGAACATTTGCCCCACAAAGCCCTGCAAGATTGAGCCTTAACCAGAAGCTCTGCAGATAACGTTTGAACAAGAGGGAATGTTTTTCTTCATTTATGGGTGTCTAGAGGGATGGAGATTGATCTTTCACACAGGTCGTTAGCTGAATGTAAAAGATGCAGGAGCATGTTAGGAAGAAGCACTTGCTGGACCAGCCAGCACTTTGCATGTGCTTCAACCCCTAGTCCTCACTGCCTTCTCCCCACAGGTACAGCTAAACGAGAATGTCAAGCGCATCTTCAGCATCTGCAATAACGGCAAGTTCAGCTTTACCTTCTCATGGGAACTGAGCGGCCCCACAGCCCGTAAGCAGGTCCTTACCATCACCCCTCAGACGGGCGCTGTGCAGGCAGAGGGGAAAGCAGAGACCCAGCTGGCTTTTCACCCACAGAAGATGTGCTCTTTAAAGGACGTAGAGCTGATGCTGCAGGTGAGGCACCAATGTTTAATATGGGAACTTTGCCTTCCCTATGCAGCAGCTTGGCAGCGGGAGCCCAGAGCTAGGGGTGAGCTCTGTCACTAAAGAGCCTGACTGAGGCAAAGAGGCTCCTGCTGCCAAAATAAAGAGTCTGACAGTTTCTGAATGGAATATTTTAATAAGTGCTTATCCAGGACCACGTTGGGAAGCACTTTTGAGGCAGAACATATCCCCCACACCCTCTCTGCCCCTAATTTGGGGGGTCCTAGATGTGCATGGAGATGAAGCTGTTTCTCCTTGCCAGGTCTCTGCTGAGTTGGGTCCCATAGCTCAGAAGGGTCCTGTCAGCATGTGGCTGCACTGCTCAGCACGTGGCTGCACAAAGCAGGGCCATGACTCTCCAAAAACCCTTTCCCTCTCAGACCAAGCCTTCCACCTTCTATTTCCATTCCAAGGTCCTTTGGCACTTGCTTTTCCTTGTTGTCACAGCAGTCAGCTGTCCCCCATCTTCTTCCTCAGCTGTCTCTGGTGTTTGCAGTTGTAGTTCCCATTTCTTCAGCTGGCTCATACTGTCTTTCACCCCACTAGATCAGCAAGGGTCCCACGTTTACCTGCGTGTTCCTGGCCACCGTGGTAGTGCCCACTGTTCACTTCTCCACCACTAGACTCAACTTTGGAGCCTGCTTCATCTACCACGCTGGGATGCCACCTCCCCAGCAGACCCTTGCCATCACAAACAAGGCAGACAAGGATGTGAGGTAGGCCTTCTCTGCACACTCCTTTGGCCCTTGCTTAGCACGTGCCTGCTCCACGTCCTCATGACCACTGTGGGTGAAATCCTGAGGAGACAGGAGAACCCTAAGTAGCCCTGATGTTGTCATCTGAGCACACACAGCCTTGTGACACCTTTGCTCCTCTTTGCTGTGCTTTCTGCCAGTTTGAACTGCTTGTTCACCAGCACTGCACACCTGGAGGTGGACTTCCCAGGGTGCGTCCTACTCCCAGGAGGGACAGTGGAGGTGCCCATCACTTTCTATCCCAGAGAGGTTGCGTCTTACCATGAGCTTATCCCTTTTGAAATCAATGGTCTTTGCCAGAAGACTGTTGAAGTCCAAGGAAAGGGCACAGAAATGAAGGTGAGATGAAATCCAAATCCTAAAACCCCAGGTGGCTGAGAGCCAGCATGGCTTTCTCTCTAATTTTCCTCATCTCTTCCCCAGCCTACCATGTTTTGGTTTTCTGCCACCCTCGTGGCACCCTTTTCTCCTTCCTTCCTTTCACTTTATATTAATCTCTCCTACCTCAGGTTGATGTTGTAGAACCACAAGGAAAGGTTGTGAAGCTGGGAGCCCTCTCCATCGGACAGACAGTGAAGAAGATTGTCACCATAGCAAACAACAGTGCTGCCCCTCTCACTTTTAAGCTCAGTCTCATGTCCACCATGCCAGAGCTGCAAGAAGTTGGGGTAAGGGCCCTTCCTTCACTGGTGAGCACTTTGGTGTGCCCACGGGTAGCTATGAGCTGCTCTGGGTGGGAGCTAGTAGCTAATTACAATTGTATGCTGTCCTCCCTGCTGGGACTGCTCTACCAGCAAATACTTGCAATGCGAATGCCTCATCTGAGCTAGGCATCAGGCCTCCCCTAATAGCCAGAAGTGAGAATAAAGTACAATTCCCCCAACCTGTTTTAGACACATACATTAGGATGTGACCATACATTTTAGATCTGGAAAGATAAGGGAGATAGCTGAATCTTTAAGAGTTACAGCTCTCTTGGAGCTTATGTGAAATGACTTTGGAAGACATAGTTCAGCTCACCGTAGGCAGATGGACACATCACAGGGGAAACACCTTTGGTACTTAGGAATGCATAGGAGGGAATGAGTGGGATTGGGGTGAGGACAGAATAGGAATTGGAAGACCCTTCTCTGACTCTAGTGATGGAGGATTCACAGCTCAGTTGCCAGATGAAGTAGTCTCCACTCATTTCTTTGGGCAGGTTCTCTGCTTGAACCCCAGCAATGAACTAAGTCTGAAGCCCAAAGGAGACACCTGTAAAGTAGAGGTGACCTTCTCCCCAAAACACCGCATCCAGCCATTCACCGAAGAAGTGATGTTGGAGTGCAACGGCCTGGTGCGCTCCCTATTCATGGTGCAGGGCTCCTGCCAGGGCATCCATGTGAGCTTGGACCAGGATCACCTCAGCTTTGGAGCAGTGGTGCAGCAGAGCTACACATCCCAGCGCATCATCATGCAGAACATGGGCGACATAGGAGTCAGGTAATGCAGAACCCTGTTCTCTCTGAGGGCTGAGAGCTTGGATGAGAGTTGCATGGAGCTGTAGCTTCCTCAGATAGTTCCACTCTGCTTTTCCATCCCAGTGGAGAGCCGTGCAGCCAAGGCTATGCAGTCAGGCCCTGGAAGTTAGCAAGGCATACAACCAAAGGCTTGTTTACAGATAGGTGCAGCTGAGTCCTGCCCAGCCTGAAGCCTTATTGCCAGGTGGCTTAGCACCATGCCTGAGATCCTGTGGAAAAGCTCACAAGAGGATTAGGTACAGCACACTGTGTTTGCAGCCTCCTAGTTGCTAATCCTTCCTTTCTGTCATTGTGCTTTCCTTCGCAAGGTTTAAGTGGGACATCGAGAGCTTCAAGCCAGATTTCTCCATCAGCCCCACAAAGGGTTACATCTCCCCAGGAATGGATGTCCCCTTCATTGTGACCTTCCGCCCCTCTAAGCTGAGCCATGCTATCCAGTACGAGGGCCTGCAGTGCTTCATCCAGGGCAGTAAGCCGCTCAGGCTTACGCTGGCAGGATGCTGCATGGAGACCCCGGTGACCAAAGAGGTAACCAGAGCAGAGGCAGGATGGGTACCCCCCTTGCCCCACCATTTGCACCACATCTCTCCCAGGGCAGAGACTGGAGGACATTTATGTGCGTAGACTCACTCCTGCCTGTCATCCTGCCTGGGTAACCCAGAAAGCTGAGAAAACCACTGGGCAGGATTCCCAAAATTTCTGAGCCCTGTAATTGCCTTTCTCCCCTGTTAAAGGTGCTGCTTCTCCAGCTACCACCTCAGCTGTCCTGGCTCTGCATTGCAGTACCCTTGCCATGGGGACACCCTGCAGGGCTCTTCTGAGACCCTCCCCACAGAGCCACGCTGCTATACCCACAATATTGCACCCGCAGTCACTTTTTCTCCCTGTCAGGGCAGGGGAGGGCATTCAGCACTAGGAGTGGGCAAGGTGTCTGCATCCACCTTCTGGGGCACAGGGATGTAGCGTGGAGGACTACTGGCTTTCACAGGCATTGCAAGAGGGTGCAGCTGGGGGGTGTTGGCTTTTGCTACCAAAAGAGAACCCAGAGCTGCTCTTCAGCCTGCCCGCAAAGGGGCTGTGCAGCTGCAGGTCTTGTCCTTGCACAGGAAAGATACCCTTCCAGGACTTCCCATTTTCTTTCGCCCTTCCTTGTGAGGTGGCAGCCCCCTTCACCCAGCATGCAAAAGACTGATTCCTCTCCTCTAAGAACTGACAACTTGATTTACACCAAAAGTTATGGCTCAAATGGCAGTTTTGCATATGACGAGGAAAAGCTGCTCCCTGTGCATCGAGCTAGTCAGAGTCTGGGTGGAAAGGATTCTTCAGTATGACCAAGCAGTCTCTGTGCTCCTCTGTTGCAGACACTGACTTTCACATGTGACGTGCGTGAGAAGCACAGCCAGACTATCCTCCTGTCCAACCCAAGCAATGAGGCCTGGACCGTGCAACCTGTCATTGAGGGGGAACACTGGAAAGGGCCTGAATTTTTCCATCTAGAGGCCAATCAACAAAACAAGCCCTACAAGATCACTTACAAACCCCTAACCATGAGCTCTGAGAACAAGAAGCATCAGGTATGTGAGCTGTGCCAGCATGCTGACCCTCATAGTGTGACCGTCATAGCTCACCCTGCTTTGGGCAAGTGGTTGGACGAGATGACCTTCAGAGGTCCCCTATGAACTGAAATTATCCTGGGATCCTATGTTGGAAGCTAGGTTTCTTCGTGGCTAGAGGCCAGGTGTAAGGAAAGTTCAAGTGGGAAGTCTGGGCAAAAGTGTTGGACCAGCTAACCCAAAAAGCCAGGTTTTCTGAAGGTCCAGGAAATGAAGTTTGTTCTGTGCAGCTCTTGGTCCCTGCCTGTGCAGCCCAGGGGGGCTCAGAGATGCCCATGCTTAGCCCTGTGGGCTGCAGAGGCTCCCCAAGCCCTGGGCATGACCACTTCTGCCAGCACGGCCCTTTTGCAGCAGGCAGGGAACAAGAGGGGCGAAGATGCCGTGCTATTTCACAGTGCCTCCCTTGCCTTGAACAGTCAGGTGGGAAATGACAGAGATATCTCTCTTGACGTCACCTTGGGTAATGTGGGAGCTTTGGAAAGAGCCCTTCCTGTAGGTCTCAAGCTGGGCAGACGGGGCATGACTGGCCCCTCTGTTTTCATGGACAGTATTTCTGAGACACACCAGGGACAAGCTCTCAAATCAAGGGGGTCAATTCAGAACGGTTCTGGGGTGCTGGAGGTGGGTGTCAGGCACCTGCCCGTTGTCCTGCTCCAGCTGATCTTACACTAAGCCACGATTTAGGCCAGGGCAAGAGTGGAGGCTAGAGACTTCTGGGCTCAATCTCCAGGGTGCACAGCAGATCTGTGCCCTGTAGCATTGCATATGTTCAGTATCTCTTTAATGTACAGCCCTGCATGAAGAGTCCTGCAGTTTTCAGCTGCTCTGGAGGCAGAGGAGATGCCACAGGGCAGGTGGCTATGACCCACTGGCACCTGAAATGACTACTGGATACGAACTTTTCATGGCCCACCCTGGCTGGTGGGACCCTGCCGTGTTAGCTTACAGGCTGTTCTCTTGGCAGTAATGTTGGGGCTAACCCTGGCACTGCCAAGGCAGTCAAGATTAGCAGGGACTGCCACCCCCTTACCACAGCTATGCACAAGCACGGGACTGGCAGCTGATGTGCCAAAGTTATTAAGGCAGGTAAAGGAGTGTTAGGATGGGCAGACCAGCTCTGCTGCAGGGCCAGTGTTTCCTTGCTTTGCCCAGACATGCTGTCTCTGTGTCCTGTAGCTGTGCCAGCCCGAGCTGGTATGACATTGCCATCTCCACCTGTGCAGGACACAGGGCTACAGTCACAGCTCTGCCAGCTGGACTTGCTCAAAGCTGCTCAAGGGACAGCCTGAGACCTGGGAGAGTCCAGGTGTGCTTGAGAGCCAGTAACTGGTCCAGACAGAGAGCAGGAGAGCTCACTTATCCTATTTCTTGTCTTCTAGGGCTCCATCTTCTTCCCATTGCCAGATGGGACAGGCTTATACTACCTCCTGCAAGGAACTGCTGAGGCCCCAAAGTGTTCAGGGTCCATTTTCCGGCAGGTACCATGTAGGACTTCCTACACTGAGCTCATCCCCGTCTCCAACTGGCTGAACAGACCACAGAGGTGAGTCTGGCCCAGGAAGTCTCCCATCAGCAATCCCTGCAGCAGTACAAGGAAGGGCTTCCCACTACCTGGAAGCTCCTTCCTGCAAGCTTTTCAGTCTCCTTGGCCATTTCTGGCTATTGGTGTCTGGGATCATGCTACCCACGTTCTGCCTATGGAGACCCATCCTGGAGGGCTTTCCTCCAAGGTGGATGAGAGCTGGCTCCCTCTGCCTGAGGCATTGAGGATGAGAGGGGCTGTGTTTTACCCCCCACACTGGGTATCCTGTGGGAGTCCTTTCCATTGACCTTCACTGCATCCTTCTCACCCACAGGTTCCTTGTGGTAGTGGATATACTCAAACCAGAAAACCTGGAAAGCAGGTCTCTGCTGCAGGGGCTGGAATACATTGATGTGCCAGGCTCTGCCAAGAAGGACTACAAGCTCACCTTCCTCTCCTACAAGGAAGGAGTCTTTAACACAATGGTAAGTGTGGACGCCAGGCTGTAGGGCCCTTCAAGGAGCTGTTGGCTCACTGAAAAGCTACACACTTGTTTTCATATCTCCATGTGCGCACTGGTGGGCTTGTAGGTGTCCTAGGTGGGTCCCGAACAGCAGGCATCTCTCCACACACCCCACTCACATGTCAGTCTCTTTGTGAGGGTCCCAGTGTGGGCTGCTAAGCACAGGTGGGTCAGGACATTGGTGAGCTGGAAGCAATGTGCAATTGGGAGAGTATGAAGTAGAAATACCACACATGCTTTCCCCGGTCTTGCACTTTATCTAGGTGGCTGCTTATGGCTGTTCTTGGAAGTAGGGCTGGCTTAGCACAGCTGGTATATTTTTATGTGCAGAATGACCAGTGATTCCCTTTTTCTCCGATTCAGGTGACCTTCCTCAATGAGGTGACCGAGGAGTACTTGTTCTACATGGTGACTTTCAAGGCCACCCCTTCGGGACCCATCAGCACTGTTGAAATTACCACCGCTGTTCGGCAGAGAGTGTCCTCCACCGTCAGGGTGGACAACCCTCTGCCTGTCCCAGTGACGTTTGCCATAGATTGCAAAGTGCCTGACATCAATGTTCCCCCGCATTTCACTGTGCCTGCAGAGTCAGAGGTAAGAGCAAAGCTTGTCCAGTATGCTCTCCTCTCCCCGCAGCCTTTCTGGGAGTGGATGCTCTTGAAGGGTGATGCCCTACGTGAACCATCTGGGGCTTCTTTCCAACAGTGATAACTCCCACTTGCTAATAATCTGGAGGGGAAGCAGTGTCTAAGAATATCCCTAGTGGGAATCACCCTGTGCTGGTGGAGTCTGCCATGCTACCCCTTGTGATATGCTCCCATCAGGACTTGCGTGGCAGGTCCTTGTGCCACATGCTCCTTATTTAGTATGGCTGTTTTCAGTTTAGAGTGGCTGCAGGGCATGCTTCACCCCACTGGCAGGGTGTTTGCAGCCTGGATTTGAGAGGAGCTGTTGTGTGCCCTGGGGGAGTATAGGGGTATTTTAGGGTGGGAAGCTTCAGGGATGGTGCTGGAGAGCTCTCAGCTGTTGGGGATGGTCCCCCAGGTGACCTGTCCCCTAGATGCAGCAAGGCTTTGTCCTAGAGAGAGGGAGCTGGAGTGAGGGAGGGTGCTGGGCTACCTTCCGGCACTGTGCGAGCACACCAGGGACCGATTTCCCCCGTCCCAGGCTCTGCCTTCCCCGTCTCTGCCTGACCCAGTGGCTTTTCCATTCGTTCCTCTCAGGCTGACCTTGTCTTTGAGTACCAGCCCACAAAAATGGGTGAGAGCACTGGGCACCTGGTGCTCCAAAGCAGTGACTTGGGTTCTTTCTACTACAACCTGCACCTGAAAGCCACCACAAGCAGGCCGGAGAAGCCCCTCTACTTCTGCACCATGCTGGGCTCTAGTCAGACCATCACCACCAAAATCATGAATTACGCCCGGCAGAAGACCGACTACCTTCTCCAGGTGACCCGAGCCTGCCCTGGGCTCTTGCTGGGAGGCAGCTCATCTGGCCAGCATCAGCCCTCTCCATCGAGGGATCCTGCCCCTTTGGCTTGGCCTGGCATAGCTGGGGTGGCCATGTGAGCCTAGGGGTCTTCCCACTAATGCTGGGCTTGTCCCCAGCTGGACTGTCCTTGCTTGCAGCCCCTTCTCTGCTGCCTGTGTTGGAGCTGCTTTTGCAGGTTCGATGGTGCCTGGACTTCCACCTTAAACCCCAGCTCTGGCAGTAACATCTCTGGGTGCAGGGTTGTCCCTGCTTGGCATGTTTGGACAGTCCTTATGGCCATCCGTCATGGGCACTCACCAGGGGTAGGGTGTGGGCGGGACAGATGCAGTACAGGCAGGGGAAAGGGACCCCAGCCAGTGTGACGGCAGGGGACGATCGGTTTCTTCCCAATGTGCTGGTTCTGCTTTTGTGACACCCCCCCCCCCCCCCCCCCCATGGTCTTTTCTCTTCCCTCTGCAGACCAACTGCGCGGACTTCCAGACCGAGAAAACCATCAGTGTGGCCCCCGCCGGCCCCAGGGGCTCGGAGGTGAGCGTGGAGGTGACTTACGAGCCCTGCCAGCTGGGCGAAGCCAGGGCCACGCTGCAGCTCTCCTCCCCACTCGGAGGGGAGTACAGCATCCCCCTCTTCGGCCTTGCCCTCCCGCCCAAGCCCCAAGGCCCCTTCCTCATCAAGGCTGGCGGCACCACCTCCATCCCCTTCAAAAACGTCTTCCTCCAGCCCACCGCCTTCCAGTACACGGTGGAGCACCCGGCCTTCACCGTCAGGGCCCCCGACAGCTTGCGTGCCAAGAAGACCACCTTCATCACCGTCTCCTTTCAGGGCGGCCCGGCCTCCGGCGGGGCCCCTGTCACCAGCAAGATGGTGGTCTCCTGCCCGGGCGGGGCGGGTGTCTCCTGGGTCTACTACCTCCGGGGCCTCCCTCCTCACAAGTGACCGATGCCCCCCTGGGACCCCCTCACAGTGGGCGTTCGTTAATAAACCCCGGGGCCGATTAATGCTGTCGCGGTCGGTTTGGAATAAACCCGGCGCACACCCCCCCACCCCCGGGGCAGCGGGCCCGGTCGAGCCGGCAGGGGGCGGCCTCCGCGCCGCCCGGGGGCGCTCTGCGGCGTGGCGGTGGGATCACGTGGGCGGACCGACCGGGCGGGGTCACGGGGCCGCCGG